GACTGACAGCAGATGATGGATTAATGCCCCAGCATCTGGGGCGGGTGCTGTATGTTTCCTGGGAGTCCCCTGCAGATTTAAAGCCTATAATGATAATCTGCTTACTCACATGCCCACATTGGCTTCCTGCCCTCCCATGTCTCTCTTCATTCTTTCCAGTATTTCCTGGATCCCAAACCTAGATTGTTGATACGTTGATCAGTCACTCAGTCATGCCCAACTCTTTGTGACCCCATGGACTGCAGCACTCCAGCAGGCTTCCCTGTCTTTCACTATCTCCTAGAGTTTGTTCAAGCTCATGTCCAGTGAGTCGATGATGCCATCCCACCATCCCATCCTCTGTTGCCCCCTTCTCCTGCCCTCAGTCTTTCCCAGCATCAGGGTCTTTTCCAGTGAGTCAGCTCTTCACATCAGGTAACCAAAGTATTGGAGCTTCAGCATGAGTCCTTCCAATGGATATTCAGGATTGATTTCCTTTAGGATGACTGGTTTGATCTCCTTGCTATCTAGGGGACTCTCAAGAGTCTTCTCCAGTACCACGCTTCAAAAGCATTAATTCTTTTATCACTCAGCCTTCTTTTTGGTCCAACACTCACATCCATACATGGCTCCTGGAAAAACCATAGCTTTGACTATACAGACCCTTGTTTCTGCTTTTTAATACGCTGTCTAGGTTTGTCATTGCTCTTCTAAGGAGCAAGCATCTTTTAATTTAATTTAATTCTTTAATTAAACCTAGATAGAAGGCAGTTTGGGGGTCTCGGTAAATCATACCAGGCAGCCTTTGTCCAGCTCCTACTCAGAGATGGATATTTTCACATAGGTGAAGATTCTAAGGAGCACTGAAAGGAAAAGGTCATGAAAGTAAAACATACAGATTTTTTGGAGAAAGGAGAGGAATAGAAGCAAAAAAGAGGCAGTTTAACTCTCTGCTTTGTCACCTCTTGACATGAGCTATTTAATCTTCATAGTGAACAGCTTTGCAAAATAAACCTTTTTATTCCCTTTCCTGCTGATGAAAGTGAGCCCCAGGAGAATTGAGTAGCTCACTTAGGGTTTGCTGACATGGAGACAACGCAGTCAAACTCCAGTCAGAGCTGTGCTCCTTCCTCAATCCAGTAGTTCTCACACTTGGCGGGGATGGGGGGCAGGCACCTGGTGTCAGGGTAGTCATTGCAGGTCATAGTAAAAACCTCAACAGACTAGATTCAAAGTGGCTGAGTGTAATTTTTTTTTTTTTTTTTTTTGCTGAATGAAATGCTAGCATCTGATCTGTATATGCAGGAGGCAGCAGAGGTTAGGGAGTTAAGAAGAATTAATGGAAGGAAAACTTTGTTCCAGTTTGTGGAGCAGGAGTCCTGCTGGAGATCCTCTGCCCCCACTGACCTTGGCCCAGGAGCTTTGTGGTGTGACGGAGGCTCGTTGCCGCCCCGAGGAGCTGCTCCCTGGAACGTGTCCAGGGTCAGTGCGGATGGTCTGCCTTCATCCCTCTATCCCTAGGCGTCAGAGCCTCAGTCCTTTATTTGATTCTCTCAAGAGGGAGGGGCAGGTGTTCATGGAGCAGCTACATGTCCTTATTTTCCCAGGGAGCATCCTTCCCTAAGCACTGTGCCAGGTCAGTCCCCGGTGTAGCACAACACCCTGAGCCTTTCTCCAGCCCGTTGTGACCCTGGATTGAAATATCCTGTTTATCTGTGTCTCTCAAACGCTGAGAAGACCATGCCTTGTTCATCTCTGTCTGTAGAACAGTCCTCGGCATATAGCACGTTAAGTAAATGAATGCTTGCATGTATCGGACAGTGTGCTAGTTCCTTAGAATATGAAGATTGTTAAAAGAAAAATCAGGTTCTCCTTCTCAAGATCTCATGGCCTTGTAGGGCCTACACAGGTGAGTAAGGAAATAACAAAATTGTGGTTAAAAAACTGGCCTGTTTTTGGTGATGTCCTGGGAGGCCGTCCATAGGAGTTGGGGCGTTAATGGCCCCTTGAGTAATAGCAGTCAGGGGCGGGCACAGCATGTACGGAGGCATTGAGATATGACACAGAGACTCATTCTGAAAATTCCAAGTAGCTCCAAATGGCTGGAACATATTTCTAGATAATGAATCTAGAAAACCAAGTGGGGCCCTGATAGGGAAGCTTTGAATTTCATGCTCGGCAGTATAGACTTTAGACAGAATATTCAAGGGACACCGCTGAAGGGATCTAATTGAAGAATGTTTTCAACAGATTGCCCAGGAATAGTGGGGAGGAGCCCACAGAGCCTAAGAATGTTATGTTTATCTCTCACCTCCACGCTGTCTCCAGCTGTCCATTGTCTTTTCCCTGAGCCTTTTGCAATGTCTGTGTTCAGTACATACTGACACCTTTTAAATGGGGTGTGTGTTCTGTATTTAGTTGCTCAGTCGTGTCCGACTCTTTGCGACCCCACGGACTTTAGCCCACCAGTTTCTTCTGTTCGTGGCGATTCTCCAGCCAAGAATACTGGAGTGGGTTGCCATGCCCTCCTCCAGGGGATCTTCCCAACCCAGGGATCGAGCCCAGGTCTTCTGCATTGCAGGTGGATTCTTTACCAGCTGAGCCACAAGGGAAGCCCAAGAATACTGTCAGAGCCACTGAACTAATAAGAGATAGAGGGAGGCTTATTAATAAGGCATTGGCTTACGTAGTCCTGGAAGCTGAAGAGTCCCATGATCTTTGGTCCCAAAGACCTGAGATTCTGGAGAGTAGATCATGTTAGTTTCAGTCCAGCCTGAAGGCAGGAGGACACCTAGGTTTCAGCTCAAAGATGGGAGAAAGAGACGGGTCTCCCTTCATCCGCCTTATATTCCAACCCGACTTTGGATTGGATGAGGCAGGCACACACTGGGGACTGCAACCTGCTTTTCTCAGTTAATCAATCAAGTGTTAATCTCATCCCAGATATGCCCCCAAAGACAGCTGGTATAGTGTTTAACCAAATATCTGGGTGCTCCTTAGCCCAGTCAAGTTGACACTAAAATTAGCTGTCACGGGGGAGAGAGGATAGTGGTAGCATTGGTGTAGCAGGTGGACTGGAGTTAGAGAGAGACCGAGAAGGCAAGTTACTGAACTCAGCTAACCACTCTGAATTCTGATCTAAAACACTCACTGTTTCTTTGGTGCCCGCTTGTTTCCTTCTAGGCTGTGGTCATATTATCCTTGTGGGTTATTCTATTCATATGTAAGCGTTTAATACTTGTTGCATAGCAATTAGAGTTTGCTTTTATAAAAACTAAGAAAACTGGTTTTCCTGCATCCCTTTTTCTCCCTCTAGTTTATGTTGAACACACAGTCAGAGTGATCCTTTTAAAACCTACGTGAGATCCTGTCATTCCTGTGCTCAGAACTCTTCGGCGGCCAGCCCCTCATCACCTTCAGAGTCAGAGCCGGATGACCTGGCCCCCTCCCACTCCTCTGACCTCTTCCCCACTCCCTGCAACTTGCTCACTGTGTTCTACGCTGGCCTCCTTGCTGTTCCTCAAAACAGACTTGCTGCTCCTGCACGTAGAACACGCTCCAGGGACTCACAAGGCCAGCCTCTCCTCTCTCTTCAGCCTTTGCTCAGTAAGGCCCTCCCCATTGTTTTATACCATTTTACACCACAAAACACTGTAGTGGAACAGATATTAACATCTCCCAGAAGAATGTTCTTTAAATACCAGTTTGGGAAACAGTATGTTTACGAAATGGATGTAAGTGCACCAGATAACTTAAAAATATCTCTGAAGAATGGAACTGTTTTACACTTTTAAGTAACTCAACTTTTCTTCAAGAATTTTTTCAATAAGAATGCAATACTTTTTTTAATAAAAGAAAACACAGCAAATGTATTAAAAAGTTTGGGGGGGAACTCCAGCTATAAAACTTGACAGTTATTAGAGGAACCACCATTATGGTGAAATTCGCATCACAGTTACTCACTATTACAGAATTTTGTATTAGGCATTTATTTTAAAATGTGGAAGGAGATATTTTGACCAAATCTTTACTAATACAGACTTAGTCTCCTTGAATGATGAGTTTCAGTAGACTAACAAATAGAGTTGAGTCCAAATAGAATGAAAATAGTCGTTTTAATCAAAGAGCTGAATACAACCCTTATCATAATTTATTATTAACCCTAAAATAGAACAAGGAGGTTAGTTGCTATTGATGGTTGAGGGTGTATGTGTGTGTATGCTATGTGTTAGAACTTTCTAACACTTTCCTCATTTTCTTCATTTTTAATACATCAAAGTGAAAGCAATTTTAACATATCACTTAATTTTTATTAATATTAAACAGTTTTTAACATGTCTTCTAATATCATGTGATTGTTTCCCCAGGGGAACATAAGCTCCATGAAAAAGTGTTTTGTCTCATGTGTTACCTGCTTTCTCCCAACACCTTAACCCATCCCTGGCATCAAACTAAGCATTCAGGACATGTGTGTTGAATTAAGAGATGAGAACAGCCTTTTGGTATTGCACTTTTAGGTAAATGGACTTCTGAGCCCACCCTCTGTAAACTTGGAAGAAGAGGGAGGAAGATTGGTTTGCCTTTTAAATAAGGTCACTACTTGATAAATCTACCACTGAAGCCGCTTTAAAGAGGAGTGAGGTATTCCTTAGCAAGCCAGAAGCGTTGTGTATCTTAGACATTGTTGTCCAAGATGTGAGAGGCCTGGGACTGGCTCTGAACCCCCATCAGTATGGTTCTGATCCTGAGACTGGCTGGTGGCTACTAAAGAGAAGAATATCATGAAAAGTATTCTTGATACTCTTTTCTCCTTTGCTGAGAAAGTATACAGTATCCACTTCAGGAAACATAGACCATGGGTAAACAGAAAAAGAATTATGAGGATGAGGAATTCATTTAGCATTAAATTTGCCTTTTAAAGCTACATGTTGTATATCTTTAAGTGCAGGAAAAAGCTCAGTACACTTGATAGGGGGAAAGAACGGTAAAAGGAAAACAATTCTTTTTTTTTCCCCTCCAAGGTGTTTCTTGGGACTCCCTTCCAGATGAGCTGCTCTTAGGAATCTTTTCCTGTCTGTGCCTCCCTGAACTCCTGAAAGTTTCCAGTGTTTGTAAGAGATGGTATCACCTAGCGTAAGTATTTTTCACCCTATTTAGTATATGGAGAGGAGGAGAAAAGAAGGGTTTTTATTCGTTGGGGTCTGCTGACACTGAAAACCAAGAAGAATATAGTAGGACAGAGCACACTTGATATTTTCTTATTCTTTATAATAATTAGTGTCTTATTTCACAGATAAGGGAGGAATCTACTGGAGGGGTGTGTGTGTGTATGCCAAGTTGTGTCATACTCTTTGCAGCCCCATGGACTGTAGCCCACCAGGCTCCTCTGTCCATGGAATTTTCCAGGCAGGAATAAAGGAATGGGTTGCCATTTCCTCCTCTAGAGGGTCTTCCCAGCCCAGGAATCGAACGCATGACCCTGCATTGGCAGGCGGATTCTTTACCACTAGCACCACCTGGGAAGACAGCATCATCCCCTTTTATATATGCGGGGACTGGGACTCAGAACCTCACTCAGGTCCCATAAAGCCTAAGTAGCAGAGTCTGGTTCCCCACTTGGGTCTCACTCAGAGCCCCGAGTTCTCTTCCCACCACTCATAGCCAGCCCACTGGGTGTATGAGAACCAGCTATGCCTTCATGCATCCCTGTCACTCCTGGTACACTGCCTGGCCCAGCATCCAATAAACATGGGCTCTGCTGAATACAGGGAAAAGAAGTTTTCCAAATGGGGCAGGTCACTTCTGGTGGGTCACATAATGGCCACTGTGAACATGAAATATAAAGATGCTCAAGTGGTGCCCAGCTAATTGTTCAGGTTTTGTTGGGTTTGGGACCACACTTCTCAGGTGCGAACAGTGAGCTGCACATGGGACATCTTGGTGAGCTGGGATGAGCTTTTCCATCTTCACCTTTTCTCCTTCTCATCAGCCTCTGGCCAGCCTTTGCTCTGTGCTTAAGGCCGTCTATGTCTCGTCTCCCTCCACACGTCTAGGACTCTCACTGTGATTACGCAGGAGCCCCTGCCCTTCCATTCACAGGTGTGCTGGAAATAAGACACTCCAGGTATTTACAGGACTGGGCTACAGTCATCCCTTGGTACCCACTGGGTATTGGTTCCGGGACCCCCCTGTGGATGCCAAAATCTGTGGATTCTCAAGTCCCTTGTATAAAATGGGGTAGGACAGTCTGGCTCTGGATCTGCGGATCTGTGGATGTGGAACCCGTGGATAGGGAGTGCTTGCTCAGTCGTGTCTAACTCTTTGCGACCCCATGGACTGTAGCCCACCAGGCTCCTCTGTCCATGGAGTTCTCCAGGCAAGGATACTGGAGTGGGTTGCCATTTCTTCCTCCAGGGAATCTTCCCCACCCAGGGATTGAACCCACGTCTTCTACATTGGCAGATGGATTCTTTATCATCTGTGCCACCTGGGAAGCCTTGTGGATAGGGAGGGCTGACTATGTTTGCTTAGAAGAGCCACAGAGAGGTCGGCACAGCTGGAATGCCAGAGTAGGTACATGGTGGTTGACTCACTTATCCCTGCTCAAGAAACCCCGTTTTGATTTTCTTTGCCACCAGCTGTGTTCTCTATGCAGCTCTGCTCATCTTCATCTCAACTGTCATAAAAGTTATAACTGACATTCATTAAGCACTTGTTATATGCCAGGCACAGCAGTCCAGTCTTCTTAAGAATAAAGGTTGACAATTTGTTTATGCAGAATTATTTCAAAGCTCCAGCCAGTGGTCTGCTTATCTCAAGTAGAATTAAAAAGTAAAATTCTTGTAAACATTTAAAATGTTCCCTCACGGGCTTGATCTCATGTTTTCTTTTGTGTTAAATTGAATTAATCTATGGGTATTCAAACTTCTTTATGTTTTTTTACTATATTTGTTACCGCTTTTTTGCTTTTGAAACACAAATCTAAACATTTTTACCTCTTCTCTTCTCATTAGCTCATAGGTATACCTGTATTTCTGTGCATTTATTTTAAGCTTTTAAGGTTTTGTAAATGGAGCTGAACTGTGACTTTTCCTAATGGATATTTGCTAAATATATCTCATAATAAAGTCATATAAACTTTCCTTCTTTTAGGTACATTTACATGTTTTTTAGGGTAATTGTGGTAGCATGCTCGTCCTTCACAATAATGGCAAGCAAGGTCATTGTGAACCTACCTACTTGTTCAGTAATCAGTTGAGTGATTTGAGCAATCTTAAAGTTATTGAATTGAATGCTGAAATTTTATTCTCCTGTTCCAGATCATTGCAGAGCTCATGATAGCTTTGAACTAGCTATGAAATCCATGTAAAGAGGAAGATGAAAGCTTATCCATAATGGGAAAAAGAAATATTCCGTAGTGCCTTAAAAATATAGGTAATTGTATAGTCAGAAACAAACATGCCTTTAGAATTTGCTTCAGGGCAATCGAGTGGCCGTATCCTCTTGTTGGAAGCGGTGTCGAGGGTCTCCAGAAACTGGTGCCCTGACTCACCAAATGGAGCACCTCTTTTCCAGGTTTGATGAGTCTCTCTGGCAGACTGTAGACCTTGCAGGCAGAAACCTCTACCCAGACGTGGTTGGTCGGCTCCTGTCCCGAGGGGTGGTTGCCTTCCGCTGTCCAAGATCGTTTATGGACCAACCGTTAGTTGAACACTTCAGGTAAGAAAGAAAAGTGCCCAGAAAATCTTGGGGAGGAAAACAGATCAAAGTGTCTTTTTTTCTCTCTCTCCTGCTATATGCCCTAGGACAGGTCATCTGTGCAGCGTGGAATGTTAGTTGTGTATGTTGCCATGTGGCCTTTGTGTTGAAACATGGCATGGGTTTCAGTGACATCATTCCTGTTTTAGCCTAGGCCTGCTCTTGGGCTCTTCCCAGGGTCTAAGGGTGTCCTGAGTATCCTATGAGGCAGGAGCCAAGCAGAGCCCTCACCAGCAGATGTCATGCAGCCAAGCTATTCAACCAATGCCCATTTCTTTTTATTTTTTTAAAATGTATTTTTATTTGGAGGATAATTGCTTTGCAATATTTTGATGGTTTCTGCCATATAAGAACATGAATCAGCAATAAGTATACATATGCCCCCTCCCTCTTGAGCCTTCCTCCCATACCCCCATCCCATCCCACCCGTCTAGGTTGTCCCAGGGCACTGGGTTGAGCTCCTGTATTATACAGCAACTTCTCACTAGCTATCTGTTTTACATATGGTGATGTATATATGGTACAACGCTACTGTCTCAATTCATCCCACCCTCTCCATCCTCCTCTGTATCCACAAATCTGTTCTCTGTGTCTGCATCGCTATTCCTGCCCTGCAAATAGATTCATCAGTGCCATTTTTCTAGATTCTGCACATATGTGTTAATAGATGATGTTTGTTTTCTCTTTCTGACTTACTTTACTCTGTATGACAGGCTCTAGATTTATCCACCTCACTAGAACTGATTTGTTCTTTTTAGGACCATTCTGTGTGTGTATATATATATATATATATATATATACCACAGCTTCTTTATCCATTCATCTTTTGATGGACATCTAGATTGTTTCCATGTTCAGGCTATTGTAAATAGTGCTGCAATGGACAATAGGGTACATGTGTCTTTTTTAATTATGGTTTTTTCAGTAGTGGGATTGCTGGGCTATATGGTAGTTTTATTCGTAATTTTTAAGGACTTTCCTTACTGTTCTCCACAGTGGCTTTATCAACTTACATTCCCACCAACAATGCAAGAGAGGATCCCTTTTTTCCACATCCTCTCCAGCATTTACTGTTTGTAGATTTCTTGATGATGACCATTCTGACCAGTGTGAGATGATACCTCATTGTAGTTTTGATTTACATTTCTCTACCCCTACTGCCTGTTTCTGATAAGGAAAAAATGTGAGGGGTCTTTTAAGATTTTGTCACTCTGGGTTTCTGATCCTATCACAGACCAATTTACATCCTGAAAAAGATGCTCTGTGTTGGTGTTTTTTAGACTTTCTGAAAATGTATTTCTTACTGATAGTTTTGCAGTGTGGTTTAGTGTCATCTCATGCTGGAGTGGAGTAAATAGATACTGAACAGAAAAATAAGCTAAAGATGGCGGCGCTCTGATACAACACGCATCCCAACTCTAGGCCTTTTCACCTTCTCGCTGTGGTCACATGACAGCACTCCTCTCCCACGGGTGTTTTATGCTTCTCCTGCGGCGCTTCCTTCTCAGTCTCCTTCAAGTGTATGCTTTGCTTTGTTACTCTAGGGTCTGTCCTTGGCTGCCTTCTCTCCCGACCCACTCTCTGTCTTCAGACAAGCTATTTCTTGTACCCCCCCGTCTATGCCAAGACTTTCACATCCTCATCTCTAGCCCAACCCTCTCTTTCAAACAAACTGTTATTTCTAATTACTTAAAAACTACCACAGCTGAATTTCCTACAAGTACCTTAGTATTAGCATGTCCATCCCAAGAACCTTAGTATTAACCTCCATTTACAACTTGCCTTTGCACGGTCTTCCCTGGTTTGGTCATCCACCCACTCACCCTTGCCAGGAGTCATTGTAGGCGTGACCTCCTTGTCACCCACATCCAACTCATTCTCCTGATGCTCATTAATTCATTTTCTAAGTTGGACTGTGCTGGCACAATGTCTGGACTTGGCCCCCCCCCCCCCCCCGCCAAAAAAAAAAGCTTTTGAATTAAAAAAAAATGAAGGTGGCCAGTAACAGTTTATTTTTTTTTTTTTTCTCTACAACTATAGCTAATACTTGAAATGCGTGTTCAGGGTCTTGTTTGTGGTGGTCTGCCCAGGTGGGGAGAAGAAGGGGTCAGATCTAATCTGGACATACTGATGTGAGCCACCTTGTAGAGCTTCTTTTTATTCCCTCTGTGTTCAGCCCTTTTCGTCTACAGCACCTGGACCTGTCGAACTCTGTGATCGATGTGGCCACCCTGCACGGCCTTCTGTCTCACTGCTCCAAGTTGCAGAATCTCAGCCTGGAAGGCCTCCGACTTTCAGATCCCATTATCGAGTGAGTGGCACCTGAGAGCGTGTTTCAAGGGCACTCGTTTTGTGTTTGTTGATTTTGTTTCTCGAGTAGATGTGGGGTGTCCTGTCCACAGGCAGGTAGACTCAGAAAATACCCAATACAGTGTTCCAGCCTCTGCAGAACCTTCCAGGAGGCTTGGTTCCTCCTTCCCGGAGGTTTGGTTGCTCACCTAGACAACCAGAGTTTGTGTACTAACTCTCAATATGTTGCTGGGTCTCCTGCTAGGTTCTAGACATGCAAGGAGGAATTGAGGCGTGGCTGCTCCCTCATTCAAGGGAGAGACAGATAATTATAGTGCAGTGTGTTTGCTAGATGCGTTGGTGAATATGTGGCAACACACAAAGGCCTAATTACATTTCGAGAAGGCAGCCGTCTCGTCTCAGAGGAAGTGACTCTGAAGCTGAGTATTGAAAGTATGTGGGTAGGAGTTCTCCAGGTGATGTGGCGAAGGAAGCAGTCCTGGTGAAGCTGCCTTTGTGACCCTGAATTCTGAAGTGGTCAGGAAGTGATGGAGTGTGGGAGGGAGGTGACAGGTGAGGGTCGGCAGGGACCACATCTCGTGGGTGCCTGCCACGCTGGAAGAACTCTGGATTTTGTTGTGGGCTGTAAAGAGGGAAGCATGGTGAAGAGAAGCATGGTTCTGAGAATGGAACAAGCATGTTTAGGAAATTAACTCGCTGGGCATCTCAGAAGATCGATTACGCATAAAAGAAACTACTCAGTAGATTAGTTAGGATACTGTTGTATCCAGTATCATGATGACATGATAAAACTTGATGGGGGAAAGAAAAGAATAATGATAATATCTGCTTAATATTTGTTGAGCACATACCATGTGCCAGATACTAGGTTCTTTAAAGGTATTCTGAGTAAATCCTCATAGCAACCCCATGAAATATGTTCTTATTGTTCCCCTTTTCACAGATGTGGAAACTAAGGAACAGAGAGGCTGAATAACTTGTCCACGGTCACACAGTAGCTAGGTAGCAAAACCAAGATTTGAACCTGGCCATATAGTATGATTCCAGAACTCTCGCTCTTGATCACTGTTTGGCTAACATGAGGCATTTGGGAATGGAGGGAAGAGGGCAATTTGAGAGACGTTTAATTGAAGGAACCTGGTGACTTTATAAGTAGAAGTTTACTACAATCTAATTACAATTGTGGGTAAAATAGAAATATTTTTAGGTCATTGGTGGGTTCTGTTGTTCAATTTTAAAAGTACACTGGTAAGTGTTTGTTGTGTAGTTAATCTCTGTGCTGGGCACTGTGCTGAGGCCTTTATTACATTGTATCACTTAATTTTAACACTACCAAGAAGATACTGATCTTGCCATTTCACAGATGAATAAACTAAGGCAAAGCATCCTACTTGGTGTCATCTAGATGGTAAGATGTGAATTTAAACTCACTTCTGACTCAAAGGCCTGTGTGCTTGTAACTGCCTCCCTTAGCTTCATTCTTGTTGATTGAATAAGAGGATCTGGTTAGTATTGTTACAGCTTTGTCCTCTTTTTCCAGTAATCTTGCTCAGAACACAAATTTACTGCGACTCAATCTTTCTGGGTGTTCTGGATTCTCTGAATCTGCCCTGAAGACTTTACTGAGCAGCTGTTCCAGGTAGGAGAGATTTGAGATTTGATTATAGAACTGTGATTTCAAACAGACAGTTATCTTACACATCAGGATAGAATCAAGTAACATTTTTAAGCTATTCCTAACTCTTTGAGCTCTTGATTTGGAGAACTCAATACCCTTTATCCTTCAAACTTTCTGTCCAAACTGAGGAGCCAAATCGGTGAAGTTTGCAAAGATTACTTGTGTTGTGATCCCTTTTTTCCTCTGTAACTTATTAAAATAAGGAAAATGTGGTAATGTGTTCATCAACAGTATGTACAAAGAGTATCTGTTTATACCTAACTATACTGTCAGGCTTTTTTCCCCTGTAACGTCTGTAGACCTAACTTAAGAGTTTTGACTGTTTATTTGTCAAAGTTTGTTATTGCAAAATACACCATGAATCTGGGTGATTCAATTAAAAACATTTTTTATACTAGGTATTAATGTCTATGTCAGTATATAAAGGTTACAGAGTTACAGAAATTAATAAGTGAGGGGGGACATGATTCACAGAATACCCAATACTGTGTGTCCTTTTTAATATTCCCTTGGTCCCTGGGCTAATAGCATGGTATTTATTTCTCCGTAATGATCTTATACAAAAGATTGCTTTTGTATAAGAACATTGCTGCTGCTGCTGCTAAGTAAGTCACTTCAGACGTGTCCGACTCTGTGCAACCTCATAGATGGCAGCCCACCAGGCTCCCCCATCCCTGGGATTCTCCAGGCAAGAACACTGGAGTGGGTTGCCATTTCCTTCTCCAATGCATGAAAGTGAAAAGTGAAAGTGAAGTCTCTCAGTCGTGTCCGACCCTTAGCGACCCCATGGACTGCAGCCCACCAGGCTCCTCCGTCCATGGGATTTTCCAGGCAAGAGTACCGGAGTGGGTTGCCGTTGCCTTCGCTGATAAGAACGTTACCAATGAGATAAAATGGTAGCCCTACATTTTCTCAGCAATGCCAGGAATGGGATGTATAATTTAGTGGTTGGACTTTCTCTTTGAAGCCCTCATTTGCTTAGTTAGCAGAGGCCCAGTAAGATAAAGTGAATTTTTGTGATGTCGGCATCTCTTTATTAGGAATTCCTGGTACAACCTATCAGTTTTTTTAAAACATCTCAAGCTCATGTTGTTGTTTTCCTACAACCCAAGTGGTTGAGAAAGAAAGCATAGAAGCTAGAATTTCTCCTAGTCCTGGAATGAGGTATGAGCAGGAGAGGAGAGCACTTCCCTTCTCTTCCAGAAGAGGGCAGCATTCACTAAGCCCTTGGCTCATATACCCTGGCAACTTTCTGAAACAAACTAGACTGAGATGGAGAGCAGTTTCAGGTGAGCAAATGTAGCTGCTTAGAGAAGCTGAGGTTCTATGCAGAAAATGGTAAGGAATCAATGGCCCTGTATTTTCTTGGTTTGCAGCTTTAGGCAGGGTTTCATAGGATATTCATTCTGGGTAATGGTTTCATGCTTTTCTTGTCACCCCTCTTGTGTGCAGATTGGATGAACTGAACCTCTCTTGGTGCTATGATTTCACTGAGAAGCATGTGCAGGTGGCTGTTGCACATGTGTCAGAGACCATCACCCAGCTGAATCTCAGCGGGTACCGAAAGAATCTGCAGAGATCAGGTAAGACCCTCAGGGCTGTTGGGCCCTTAACAACAGCAGCCCCAACAATAACAGCAGGTTTGATTTCTTGAGCATCTCCTAGGCATGATCCTCTATAAACTGTCTCATTTAATGCAGTGTGTGTGTTCCTATTCCTATTTTTTCAGATGACTAACAGCTAGCTGATCAAAAGGGTCAGGTAAATGCAGACAGCTAGTGGGTTAGTGGCGGGGTTTGAATCTAGAATCCATGAGTGAAAACCTTTATGCTTTAAAAGGATTTATGTTTAAGTAGAAGAGCTTCTTTTCTTTAACTAAATTATTTAGGTAAAACCCAACATAAAAATTGAGGGATGTAGTGTTTGATTAGTATAAGCAGTGAGTCTCAACTGGGGATAGTTTTGCCTGCAAGAGGACATTTGGCAAGGTCTGAGACATTTTTGATAGTCACAGCTGTGGCATTACTGGCATCTACCCACTGGCATCTAGTGGGTAGATGCCAGGAATGCTGGTGAACAACACACAGGACAGTAGAATAACACACAAAAAAGAATCTGGTCCTAAATGTCAGTAGTGCCAAGGTTGAAAAACCCTGTAATAAACCCTCTAAGTTCATATTTATAACTTTTTTCAATTCAATCTAAAAGGACAGTGGGGTTTTTTAGGTGAACACAGGCATTTAAAATCAGGGGTGATGTGTGACAATTAAAGTTTTTATAAACCTGAACATTCAGTTATGTGTACTTCATTTTATTTTCTAATATTGACGGAATCTTGATTTGCAAAGATAAGGACAAATGGCAAGGGTTTTCTTTATTATTATTAAAATATATTTGATGTACAGTAATCTATGTTATAGGTGTACAAGAGTGATTTACAATTTTTAAAGGTTATACTCCACTTAAAGTTACTATAAAATATTGGTTGTATGCCTCATGTTGTACAATCCTTGTAGCTTATTTTATACTTAGTAGTTTGTATCTCTTAATCACCTTCTCCTCTATTGCCTTAATCTCTCTCCTGTTCCTTCTCCCCACTGATAACCACTAGTTTGTTCTCTGTATCTATGAATCTGCTTCTTTTTTGTTACATCCATTAGTTTGCCTGCAATGCAGGAAACCTGGGTTTGAATCCTGGGTCAGAAAGATACCCTAGAGAAGGAAATGGCAACCATTCCAGTATTCTTGCCTGTAGAATCCCATGAACAGAGGAGCCTGGCAGGCTACAGTCCATGGGGTCGCAAGACTCGGACACAACTTGGCGACTAAACCACAGCCACCCGTTAGTTTGTTGTAGTTTTAGAGTCCCTAAATAAGTGATATCATATAGTAGTTGTTTTTCTCTCTTTTTTTAATAATTATTTTTGTTCATTTATTTGGCTGGGCCAGGTCTTAGCTGCAGCATGCAGGATCTTTAGTTGCAGTGTGCTAACTCTTACTTGTGGCATGTGGAATCTAGTTCCCTGACCAGGGATCAAACCCAAGCCACCTGCATTGGGATGGAGTCATAGCCACTGGACCACCAGGGAAGTCCCCTGACTTATTTCACTTAGCATTTTAATAGCTTGCCCTCGCGGCCTCAGGCTGGCCTACACAAAGCCTTGTTAAGCCAGTGCACACCTCAGCCCTAACCTCGTGTCTTGATGGTGGTGTGAGCCCCTCTAAGTGCTTCTCTTATAATGTTTAACATACTCTAAATACTCATGAGCCAAATATTTGCAGAGTGTATCTTCTTAAAATCTAAGCAGTATTTGAAAAGCACTCCTCCAGGACGTGACCTGTCCTCTGTGAGTCACATATCCGAGGCTGTAGAAGATAGGAGCGGATTCTCCTAGATGGTCAGAGGTTGGAATCCTCTGCAGGTACTTGAGCCCAGATAACAAAATGAAGGCTTTCTCTAGAGATCTGTAAAAGCAGCAGTAGTATCTTTCTTAACCACTCCCCTCCACACACAGTATTTCTATTCTGCATTTTTTCCCTTTAAACACAATTTTAAATCTGTTTGGGAGGGAGGTTCAAGAGGAAGGGGATATATGTATACCTATGGCTGATTCATGTTGATGTATGGTAGAAACCAACACAATATTGTAAATTAGTTATCCTCCAATTAAAAATAAAAATTAAAAAATAATCTAGTTATAGTATTACATAGTCATTCTCAAATATGCCTAAAACATGTAAAAACACAAAAATCAATAATCCTGCTAACATTTTGCTAGTCTTTTTTCCTGTTAAAAAGTGGCTTTTTAAAAAAAAAACATGGGACATAGTGTATGGAATACTTTATGGTATGGTTTTATTTCAAGTAACCCTATTTCAGTAGCTACACCACACATCATTTTCAGTGGCTATGTGATATTCCACCAGATATATTTGGAATAATTTATTGATTCATTCACAACTTACTCAGTTGATCTCCTTGTAACGAATGTTTAGAATCTTTACAGTTTCTCCCTTTTATAAACAACTGTCTTATGGACAGAAGCAAACTGTTGAGTCCATTTCTAAGTGGAGTTGCCAGGCCAAGGATTAGGCTTCATTATCAAGCTTTGGATAGTTCTTGCCAAGTTGCCTTCCAAGGACTTTAACTTCCCACCAGGGAGCATCCTCTTCCCATTGAATCCCACCCATGGTTCTTCCCTCTTCATTCCCTAGAGAAGACAGTGCCTTGCGTACACTTCTGCCCATACCTGAACTTCCCACTTCTTTATTCAGAGTTTTTCTGTAATGAACTGAGGTTCTGTGTGTAAGGTCGAGAAACTCAGCTGTAGGCAAACTACTGTAAATTGTTTCCACGTTTGCCTTAAAACTGTTTTCTGGGTTCCTCTGAAAAAGAACAAATCACCTTTCTACTAAGTTTTGGCAAGAATAATAGGTGGTAAAATCCCACTTGCTGGACACATTCAGGGCGAGGATAGGACGCAGAGTAGGAGTTGAAGTGTTAGTTTCCTTAAGTGTACAATGGGAATTCAGGGCGTTTTAAATGGATATCTATTTAACAACGGCACACACTATTTCACTGTGTAGAAGACAATACAAATTTTGTGTTTTACCTCCAAGACCAGGGGCAGACCATCTGGATTCAAGCTCTGTCATTCACTGGGTAGCCTTGAGCAATTTGCTTAACCTTGCTCTTCTTCCATTTCTCAATAAAATGGAGTTAATAGTAGTACCTTATCTCTTAGCATTAGAGTAAGCAATAAATGGTGTAATACATGTACAAGACATTTAGTCATTCTCAGCACATAGTGAGAGCTCAGTAATTGTTGGCTCTTGGTGTTTATATTCCTCACCCATCACTACCTCTCTGTGGAACAGTGGATGAGCATGGGATGAGGTTTGGAGGACCTAGCTTTGCGTCTTGGATTTACTTGGACTTCTCTAGCGAAAAATGTCTCTCTTCTAAAATGACAAGTTATATTAGGTAGTTTCTAAGATCCCTTCTAACTCAAGTGAAATGAAGGAGACGGTGAAGAGGAATCTTGGCAGTCTGGTTCCTAACTCTTGCCTAAGTCTTGGCGATCTGGTTCCTAACTCTACCCACCAAAGAAAGACGGGACTTAAACAAGGGCTGGAGACAAGAGACTAACCAGTTTCATCCCCCAAGGTTTAATTCTTTCCCAGGTGGTGGCAAAGGAAGATTGTATCTGATTGTGGATTTTGTGGTTGGCTAGCAAAATGATGGGTCACTCAAAATTACGTTGTGCAGTTCTTCATTTTTTTAGTGACTCATGAGACAAATGTCTATTCAGTCCCTATAATGCACAAAACCCAGTTCTAAACTTGGGACATGTGGCCTTGAACAAAACAGAGAAAGTCACCCTTGTGAAGCTTCCATTCTGGTGGGGAATCCAGACAATCAACAAGGAAGTAAATATGATGAAAGGAAGTGAAAACACAAGGAGGAAAAGTTTAAAGCAGGGTACTCAGATAGAGTGTAGCAGGAAGGGGCCTGTTTTCAGATGGAATGGCCAAAGAGAAGAGCTCCCTGAGGAGGTGAGATTTAACCATAGACCTGAAAGAGTGATATGTAGATACGTAAAGAAAGAACATTCTAGAACTAAGGACCAACAAGTGCCTTTAGAGGAAAGCCACATATGCTACTTTATAATCAGAAAATGAATCAATAAATGTTATTTACTTTTTAAAATAGACAAACTTTATTAATGTTTGGGATTTTTGTTTCCTCTCAGTATGGGAGCCAGTGTGGGAGAGGGAGCGAGGAGCCCAGTGTGAGGAGATGAGATAACCGGGGGCTTTCTCGGCCAAGGCAGAAGCTCTGTTTCCCTTGTTTTCCTGGGTAAGATGGGAAGCCATTGAAGTATCTCGAACAGGAATGAAATGATCTGACTCACCTTTGAAAAGTCCCCTTGCAGAGCTGTGCCAGGGAAAGGCCGCTGGAGACTTGGTGATCACATTTGAGGAAGTAAGAAGTGATTGATTTCAGACACATTTTGAAAGCTAACCCAACAGGACTGGGTAACAGATGGGGTGTGGGATGTGAGGAAACAGTTTGAGTACGACTCCCAGGGTTTTGGCCCCAGCAATCGATGAAGTTCGCACTTACTAAGACGGGAAAGACTTTGGGGGAAGGAGCAGATTGAGGGGAGAAATCAGGCATTTGGTTTTATGCATAAATGTGAGATGCTTATCACATAGCCCAGGGAGTGTGTTGAGGAGGCAGGATTTAGACAAGGGGATGCGGCTGGAGATGTAGCTGTGAGAAGAAAAAAGAAACCCTCAAACATTAATAAGATTTGCCTATTTTTTAAAGTAAATAATACTCACTGATGTGTTTTCTGATTGCGAAGTATCATATGGGACTTTGTTCCAAATTCTGAAAAGGTATTTGTGATCCCACCACCCTTGGTAACTGCACTTAACATTTGGATGTATTTTCTTCCAGCCTTCCAACCCCCAACCCCCTTTCTTTCTATGTGTAAGTTTGTGTAAATATATATGTTTGTGTGTTTAAATTGAGATTATCATGCATTATATATATTTTGTTTTCAGTATACAGTGTATCCTGAGTTATTTTTTCACTTTGTAAAATGTTATTAAATAGCTTTTTAATGACTATTATCAGCATTGTGTTCCATAGAATGGATGAAGGTTGACCTATTGGGGAGAGGGGCTTTTATAACTGTCACTATAGTGAATATCATAGTGCATGTAAGCATGCGTGCTAAATTGCTTCATTCATGTCTGACTCTTTGCAACCGTATGGACTGTAGGGTCCTTGGGATTCTCCAGTCAAGAATACTGGGGTGGGTTGCTTTGCCCTCCTCCAGGGGATCTTCCCAACCTAGGGATCGACTTGTGTTTCTTGTCTCCTGCATTGGCAGGCAGGTTCTTTACCACTAGTGTCACCTGCGATCTCTTAATTACTTTTCTAAAAGTGGAATTACTGAGCCAAAGAGCAAAGTGTGTTATGCCCTGAAACCTTTTTTTTTTAAAAGAAAGATCAGTTCACCCTCAAAAAATGACATCTTCTGAAAGGCTGCATAAAATTAAATACCCACTTTTAGTGTAGGGGCACCTGCTTCGTATTTCATCAGTTCTGGGTATTGTAATAGGATTTGTTTTTCATGTGATAGCACCAAAAAAAAATATTTTATTTTGCATTTCTTGCTCCATTTTTATTATGTCTATATTTTATGCAGTATCATTCTATTTTGTTATACTCTTAATATACTATTTTTTTATACTGTTAATATAATAAGAACATTAACTCTACTGGAAACATTTATTCCCAGTTTTCTGATACCACTTTATTTCTGTTTGTGTTCTGTTTTCTTCTAACATGGTAAAGTTTTTAAAGATTTTTGTCGTAAATTATCATTGTCTCCTTTTTGTTTTCTTTTATGTTTAGATATGAAGATCCAATGAATAATTATTCATTTTTGCATTTGTAAGTTTTTAATAACATGTGGAATTAATTTGGATATATTATTTGAGTCGAAGTAAATTTTCTCTACTTGTAGTAGCCATATTATTTTTTAATAATCTATGATTTTCCTCCACTGGTTTGGAGTGCTACTTTTTGATATTTGTTTATATAGTGCGCTGTTTGATTTTGCTTTTTGCTATTGTGAACCAGACTTTCCCCGCCTCTTTCCATCCAGCAATTGCTGGCACATAGATAAGCTATGGAGTTTCTTATCCAGTCATTTTACACAATTAGTTCTCTTACTATTTCTAGTCGTTTTTCAGATGCTTTCTTGTGTTTCCTGGGAAGAAAGTCTTACATGGCAAGATGATGATTTTTTTTTTCTAATAGTGAATGACTCTAATTCAGAATACTCTGAATTTCCAGCACAATATGAAATGTATGGACAGCAGGTATCCTTGTGTGATTCCTCATTTGATGGTGACCGTCTTTCTTTTTTTGTCCGCTAGATGTCTCTACCTTAGTTGGAAGATGTCGCAATCTTGTCCACCTAGACTTAAGGTATGTTTTTATTTATTTTAAAACAAAAAATTTTAATGAAAATTCATGATTTTTTATTGAATGAGGAAAGAGTCTTAATATGTTGAATTGAAGGAACTGAATGATAAGCTGTTCCTATCTTCATCTGGGATTGGTGGATAGCTTTTTAATTTTTTCTTCTGTTACAGCGATAGTGTCATGCTGAAAAATGACTGCTTTCCAGAATTTTACCAACTCAACTACCTCCAACACCTTTCACTCAGTCGGTGCTATGACATAATACCTGAAACTTTACTGTGAGTACTCATGTTTCTTTTTTTTTTTTTTTCAAATTCGGCAACCTCTGGTCTTAGTTGCAGCATTGATCTTACTTTCAACATGCAGGATCTTTCACTGTGGTGCATGGATTGAGGGTGGGCTTTAGCAGTTGCCTCGAAGGCTTGGTTGACCCCGAGGCATGTGTGACCTTAGTTCTCCGACCAGGGATCAAACCTGTGTCCCCTGCATTACAAGGCGGATTCTTAACCACTGGCCCACCAGGAAAGTCCCAGTACTCTTGTTTCTTAAAATGAACAGAGGGCAGGGACCAGAAGAGATGTCACTTGGTGTTAAAATCCATTAATAGCAGATGTTTAAAGCTTAAACATCAAATTAATATATCACAAACTAGTTAGGAAGGACTAGCAAAATAGAACAACCAAGGCAAAATGTTTGGCTTAAAACGTCTGGTAAAGTTGAGTTGATTGAGTTAGCTTACTAAACATTTATTTGGCTGTGAACTGGTTCTTTATATTAGAATACTGTACTAGTACTTGCAGAGAACTTAAAAACGCAGGAGAAGACAGCCTTTAGTCCCAGGAAGCTCAGAGGAGGCAGAGGGAGGAGGAGACCGTGTGTATATGTGTTTCTGAAATTTTTCAAATCAACTAGTTAAGTCCAAAAACCTTTATCTGAGCTTAGAGGAAAAGGTCTACAGTCTCCTAGTGGTGTGTGTCCCAGATGGCCAAGGAATGGGGAAAACTAAAAATATTTAAGTAGTAAATATTGTAAGAGTGGTGTCCTCTTTGAGAAGAAGGGAGGTTAAGATCCAAGAGTGAAGTAACTTACCCAAAGCTGAATAGTGAGTTACTGACTGAACTGGATGTACTTCCCAGGTCTCCTAGACACATGCAGAATAGTCTATATCTTAATCTGGTAGCTCTTTTAGGGGTTGATTTTGTACTGCTCAGCAACTTCCACAAAATCAAAGCAATGCTAACAAAAGAGGAACCGGATCCATCTTGCTTTTAAGAAGTGCCATACCCAAGTCATCCTGGGAATATCATCTCTTTAGCTTTAAGAAGTTTTCCTATATTTCAAAGGGTTGCAGAGTTCTTCCTTGTGTCAAATATAAGTATATAGCAATTTTATTAAAAACCACAAGAATTCGGTATCTTGGATTTGGCCTGGTGCCCTTCTTCCTCATCCCCTAAATGAGGCTGCTGACCTTGTTTAAGCTCACTATCCACACGAAGGTAATCAAGCTGATTCCTACCAAAGAAAGGTGGTGAATTTGAGCACAGAATTTATGTAGTCCTCAAATTACTATTTTGGGTCTTGTAAGTTAGTTTCAAGTATTAATGAATACAGAAAACAAACTTAAGGATGCCTGGGGTAAGGGATAGTTAGGGACTTTGGGAACGTCATGTGCACACTGCTGTGTTTAAAATGGATAACCAGTAAGGACCTTTTGTAGAGCACGTGGAACTCTGCTCATTGTTATCTGCCAGGCTGGATGGCAGGAGGGTTTGGGGGAGAATGGATACATGTATATGTGTGGCTGAGTCCCTTTGCTCTTCACCTGAAACTATTATACCACAATATTGTTAATCAGCTATACCCCAATACAAGATAAAAAGTTTAAGGTTTGGAACAAAAAAGAAAAAAAAAGAATTAATGATTATAGCAGCACTGTTTACAGTAGCCAGAACACGGACGTGACTTAAATGTCCATCAGCAGATGAATGGATAAAGAAGATGTGGTACATATATACATTAGAATATTACTCAGCCATAAAAAAGAATGAAATAGTGCCATTTGCAGCAATATGGACGGACATAGAGATTATCATACTAAGTAAAGTAAATCAGACAGAGAAAGACAAATACCATATCACATGTATGTAGGATCTAAAAAAATAATACAACTGAACTTATCTACAGAATAGGAACAGACTCACAGGCATTGAAAACAAGCTTATGGCTATCAAAGGGGAAAGGGTGGAGGGAGAGGGATAAATTAGGAGTTTGAGATTAACAGATATACACTACTATATATAAAATAGATCAACAACAAGGACTTACTGTATAGCACAGGGAACTATATTCAGTTTCTTATAACCTGTAATGGAAAAGAATCTGAAAATGAAATGTGTGTGTGTGTGTGTGTATGTACATACACATGTATATATTGCTGAATCAGTTTGCTGTACACCAAAAACTAACACAACATTAAAAATCAACTATATTGCAATTTAAAGAAAAAGAATTAAAAAGAATGAATAAATCAGGCACTTCAGCTATATAGAGTTAACTCATAGAATTAGGGAATCCAGTAATTACATCTTTAGTAAAGCACTGTAATTAATCCTTAGGGCTCTAATTAATCCTGAGCTGGTGTCTCATTTGGAAAAGCACTGTCCAGAAGGGATGCCAATATTTAGTTCCAGGGCTCTCAGATATTGGGGCCTAAATTCATATATGTGCAACTCTTGTTAAAATCTCCTGCCACTTGAATTTTCTAGCATCCAGAACTGCTAGGAGCCTGGAGTGTCTACCCGAAAAGGTTTCTCTGTTGACAGTTGTTTCCCACCCTTGCCATTTGAGCTTTAGCTGCATTGTCTGTGCACCGCCCTTGGGAGTACACTGATCATTCTTTTCTGCTTGCTTTTCTCAAGAGAATCTATTTATGTGTCTTACTTTTGTTCTTTCTCTCCAAGGAGTAAGAAGTTAAGCGGGAAATACCTATTCACTTGAGTAGAGGCGAAGGGGAGGCTGTGAGCCTTCATATTTTTATATTTATATCCAGTGGGATGATAATCCTTGCACAGTCATCTGCAGGCAATGTGACTTGATGGGTCAGAGCATGGGTCTGAAGTCACAGACCTAGGTGCAAACCCTGACTGCACTGGAACCAATTTGTCTAAATATTATCTTGAAATAAGGGAAACAGAGGTATCAGTTTAGTAACAAGTTGGACCATCAGAATAAAGTGAGAGCAGACAGAAGAAAAATGCTGTCCTTGAACCTTAAGGTAAAAGAGTATGTTTCTTAAGACATAAAATGAATAGTATACTGGTTTACCCTGTGAATTCATTAAGATAAGTTTGCTGGTAACCTATCCTTAAAGATTTCTCCAGGTAAAATGTATATAAAATGCATAGTAAGAATTCTAGGATCTTCAAAAATAGTTTCCAGAAAGCTATTTTTGCTAAAAAATTTTCATTTCTTATCTCAGAAGTGGGAACATAAAATTTGAGTGTCTTTTTTTTGTAATGATATTGCTTTGAAACACTTGGGAAACTAGATTTTTTTGTCCTCAGGACACACCCTCCCTGTATTCATACCCTTCCTTATTAATTGGTCTGATTTCCTCTTATATTTCTCATTAATGGAAAAAACTGAAGCTGGAGATAGTAATCTGAGATTAAGAGAAACTAAATAATAATACTTGCAGGAGAATTTTTAAGTTGAGGAATTTAAGGAGAGTAAGATTGCTGGGAGAAATATCAACAGTAGATATGCAGATGATACCTCCATAATGGCAGAAAGTGGAGAGGTACAGAAGAGCCTCCAATGAGGGTGAAAGAGGAGAGTGTAAAAGCTGGCTTAAAACTCAACATTCAAAAAAAACGAAGATCATGGCCTCCAGTCCCATCACTTCACGGAAAATAGATGGGGAAAAGATGAAAACCGTGACAGATTTTATTTTCTTGGGCCCCAAAATCACTGCAGATGGTGACTGCAGCCATGAAATTAAAAAACGCTTGCTCCTTAGAAGAAAAGCTATGACAAACCTAGACAGCATTAAAAAGCAGAGACATCACTTTGCCAGCAAAGGTCCGTCTAGTCAAAGCTATGGTTTTTCCAGTAGTCATGTATGGGTGTAAGAATTGGACCATACAAAAAAACACATGAAAAGATGCTCAACATCGCTTATTATCAGAGAAATGCAAATCAAAACCACAATGAGGTACCATTACACTCCAGTCAGGATGGCTGCTATCCAAAAGTCTACAAGCAATAAATGCTGGAGAGGGTGTGGAGAAAGGGGAACCCTCTTACACTGTTGGTGGGAATGCAAATTAGTACAGCCACTATGGAAAACAGTGTGGAGATTTCTTAAAAAGCTGGAAATAGAACTGCCATATGACCCAGCAATCCCACTTCTGAGCATACACACCGAGGAAACCAGATGTGAAAGAGACACGTGCACCCCAATGTTCATCGCAGCACTGTTTATAATAGCCAGAACATGGAAGCAACCTAGATGCCCATCAGCAGACGAATGGATGAGGAAGCTGTGGTATATATACACCATGTAATATTACTCAGCCATTAAAAAGAATTCATTTGAATCAGTTCTAATGAGATGGATGAAACTGGAGCCCATTATACAGAGCGAAGTAAGCCAGAAAGATAAAGACCATTACACTATACTAACACATAGATATGGAATTTAGAAAGATGGTAACGATAACCCTATATGCAAAACAGAAAAAGAGACTCAGATGTATAGAACAGACTTGTGAACTCTGTGGGAGAAGGCGAGGGTGGGATGTTTCAAGAGAACAGCATCGAAACATGTATATTATCTAGGGTGAAACAGATCACCAGCCCAGGTTGGATGCATGAGACAAGTGCTCGGGCCTGGTGCACTGGGAAGACCCAGAGGGATCGGTGGGGAGGGAGGTGGGAGGGGGGACCGGGATGGGGAATACATGTAAATCCATGGCTAATTCATTTCAATGTATGACCAAAACCACTGCAATGTTGTAATTAGCCTCCAACTAATAAAAATAAACGGAAAAAAAAAAAAAAAAAAGAGTTGGACCATAAAGAAAGCTGAGCACCGAAGAACTGATGCTTTTGAACTGTGGTCCTGGAGAAGACTCTTGAGAGCCCCTTGGACAGCAAGGAGATCAAACCTGTCAGTCCTAAAGGAAATCAACCCTGAATATTGGAAGGGCTTATGCCGAAGCTGAAACTCCAATACTTTGGTCACCCGATGCGAAGGGTCAACTCACTGGAAAAGACCCTGATGCTGGGAAAGATTGGGGGAGGAGGAGAAAGGGGCAACAGAGAACGAGATGGTTAGATGGTATCACCTGACTCAGTGACTGACATGAGTTTGAGCAGACTCTGGGAGACAGTGAAGGACAGGGAAGCCTGGCGTGCTTCCAGGCTTATGGGGTCTCAAAGAGTGGAACATGACTTAGCGACTGAACAGTGAACACCAAAGGAGCGAAGCTGGTGAAACAGTTTATAAATACCTTTTGTTTACTAAAACTAAATAGAGACACTGAAGATATCAGTGTCACTTTATCCTTAAGTTAGAAATAATGGCTCAAGCTATTCATTTCTATTTACTCTCCCTGAGTTTACTTTTCAGTCTCTTCCATTGAAGTTTCAAAGAGATAATTGGGCACATTCTCTGCTGCGTTGTAGGTGGTACACATACTAGAGTCTTGTTTTGGGGGGTGGGGGGGTCTCCTTAAAATTGTAAAGACTTCCTGGTTTTTTGGCTTGGGAATGATCATTCATCCACCATCTCATCATAGTCCGCTGACTCCTTTCTGATGTGTAACACTTGAGTGTCTTCTAAGTGTCTAGTATAATTTCCTTCCTCACCAAGGCTCTTACAAAGTGCTGTTGCAAGAACATTTCCTTTGTTCTGATGGCAGATGTGGTCTGCCATCCCTCTTCACTCCCACCTCTAGTTTCTTCTTTTAAATACTCTCCACTGCAGAATGTCTTACAACTTGGCTAATCTAGAGATCCCAGAATCTGGATTCTCATGGATATTGCAAAGTTCTCATATAGTCAGATTTTATATAGGAGAAATTTAAGATTGGGCCAGATTGCTGTCATCTTCAGTGATGAAGAGAAATTTAAGATTGGGCCAGATTGCTGTCATCTTCAGTGATGAAGAGAAATTTAAGATTGGGCCAGATTGCTGTCATCTTCAGTGATGATAAGTATAAACATCTGTGGATGCTGACTTCTCCTTATACTCTTGTTTCCATTTCAGAGATTGGCTTACTTTATGAACAACAGTAATTTGTTCTTACTGCTTTTCTTTTACATCCAGATCTTATTGTCCCCTTAGGAACACCAAGCATGTTTATTTCATTTGGTTAGTACTTTTATTTTCTAAATTACCCTTCCTCTTGTATTTAACCAGTATGTCTTAAGATCTGTGGTGTTTAAAACTCTCCTAAATGTAGAATAAATACACTTAGATGGGGAGTGGGAAGAGTGGAAGAGCGGGATTGGAATGGAAGATCGGCCAGTAGGTGGTTTGAGTTGTGTAGACATGAGGGAGGCATCCGCGATTTCAAACAGGGGAAGGACTTAATCTGAGCTAGGCTTTATGAGGATGCCTTGGTCATTGGTATATACACTAAGCTAAAAGGAGGAAAGATTACAAGCTGACAGTTACTATAAGGAAAGTTTATTTTTTAAGTAATTATTGACAGTATGAAAATATAAAGGAAGCTTCTGATTCTAGGAAATTGATGTTCTCATTGATCTGCCGTGGGATTTTGTTGAAACTCCAAACTAAATATTCCCTTTCCTGACACTTTGGACTGTGTGTCCCAACCTGGAGTAAATATAGATCAGAGAGATGAATTTCTAAGCCTGTAGACCTAGGTTAAGAAAAAAGAATCATTACTAAAGCATATTTGCTTTGGGAAAACAGGTTCCCTTTTTTGTGGACCAGAATTTCACTGTTGACATAGTTAGGTTTCACTTAATGTGAAATACCTAGGAAGATGAGTGGCTTCCATGTGACAGAAAGAAAAAAAGGGAATATATAGTGAAGTAAAATATCTATTGTGTCTGTCTGCACCTGACACATGACCTTAAAATAGTATCATGAAGTCACCATTAGGTTTCATCATATGTAATGCACTTGTTGACTATTAACCATTACTTGGAAATTACTGACTCTGCTCACATCTCCTTTCAAGAGGGCAGGCCTTGTTCAAATAAAGATCAAGTCCATATCCTTAAGTTGCATGTAACCTTTCATGACTCCAGCTTATGCCATAGTAAAACATTTACTTTTACTATCACTAGCTTGCTGGCTTCCCCTCCCAACACGGTGACATTTTTCAGTATAAACCAAGAGTGGGGGTGGGGGGAAGAATATAAACCAGGAATGGAGAAAGAAAGAAAATATGTTTGGATTTTAAATAAACCTAGGAGTTTTTTGGTTATTAGAAATTCAACAAAATACACTTGTGTGTTTCCTAAGGCCATATTGCCCAAGCTGTGGCCTGTGCTTTGTGGATTCACCTTTGCTATTTCCTCGAATCACTGATTACAAATTATGTCTTCAGTTTGTATTGTATAAAATATGATACAGTGTGTAAAAATTGGATCATGTAACTCTAGTGGCACAGTTACCGTAGATACTGCTACTCTGAAAGTCTCTCTCTTCCTTTCCAGTGAACTTGGAGAAATTCCCACATTAAAAACACTACAAGTCTTTGGAATCGTGCCAGACGGTACCCTTCAACTGTTAAAGGAAGCCCTCCCTCATCTACAGATTAATTGCTCCCATTTCACCACCATCGCCAGGCCGACCATTGGCAACAAGAAGAACCAAGAGATATGGGGCATCAAATGCCGACTGTCACTGGAGAAGCCCAATTGTCTATGAAGCCTGTATTGCAAGATGGTGTCTCCTCTTTTCTTTGAACAGGGAAAGTAAGAAGGAAGCCCAGTTGTGGAGAACTCAGCTATTTTTATTCTTGGTTTTCTGTTGCCTTCCTTCTACAAGTATTTAGAGAACCATTGGAGAGAGAAAACTATGAAGTGTTGCTTTTTAGAAATGACTATGAAAGCTTTTATCACTGCTATACTCTTAAGAGCCTAAGCACTATGCTTTTTGAAATTTTAGGAAGAGTGAGCCTATAATTTTAAGATACCTTAAATAGCAAAATTTGAACCACATCTTCCAAGGCCATGCTTCATAAATCTATTTAGAATCAAGCTTAAAAATCACCACCAGCAAATCATTTGTGTAGCCTATATGGCAGCTGAACTTTCTTCTATTTAATTTTTCAGCACTGCTTTATTTTAAGACATAGGTTGCAAAAAATAATAAGCTATTTGTATTGTAAGCTGAAAAGAATGAGAATCATAGAGTAGATGTGAAGCAGTCTCTTCTGAGGATAGCAAGAAAAATAGACATTTCAATGGTGCCTTTAGATTTGCAATCAGGTTGATGGAAACAAATAGCCCAGGTCATTCACCTTAAAACCTAAATAAACAAACAAACAATCGGCCAACGAGAGGTGTAGAATCTGTGTAGAATTCAAAGACTCAAGAGGCAGTTTTCTATAACAAGTTAACCTGGGGTATCCTGTAGTGCACATTAATGACGTCTCCTTTATGTACAGCTGGGAAGGTCACCTGGAGGAGGAAATGGCAACCCACTCCAGTATTTTTGCCTAGAGAATCCCATGGACAGAGGAGCCTGGCGGGTTACAGTCCATGGGGTCGCAAAAAGTCAGACACGACTGAGCGACTAATACTTTTATTTTCTTTAGGTACTGTGTTTGCAGTGTTCTGAATTAGCTGAGGAAATTGAATTGTGGACTTCTGACGTTATGATCAAATTATGTTAACATGGGTTCTTTAGCTTTTAAAATGACTTACTTTGTTTTAGAGAGGTAGGAACCAGTCATTCTTTGATTCTTGAAATGTTGGATGGAATCGTGAACCGCAGATGCCTGCCATTTTCCTTTTCGCTAAGGTTCTCAAAGCTATTTTTACTCCGGAATCAAGTATTTTAAATTGTCTTTATTTTATTTAAATGGCCTCCCACAATGATTGTTTCTAGCAACCCGTTTTATAAAGTTCTGGACCTGGAGTTCCCTAAGAACTGCATGTTCCTTTCAATTAGGAATATACCCTAGAAGAAGGTGTATGTTCCGTGCAGTTTCAGAGCAATAAGCACAGCCGGCACATGTGTAAAAGTTAAGACTTGGGTGCTGAACCTTTTGATAGCATCAGTGAATTTTTTTTTAATGATACATAGAAGAAAAAGGACTAAATTCTACTTACACACACACACACACACACACACACACACAACACTAATTTCTTGTTTAAATCGATGACCTTCCCATATATTCAAAATGGAGCAAAAAGCCCAAACTCATCATTTCTATTAACATTGCTTTTTTAAAAAATCAGATCTTTCAAATGTTAGAAACAATGGTATGAAGTGCCCTTATCTGCTCAAACCTAAGGAAGAACATTTTTATAAAGTAGTGTTACACGGGAAATGATTAGGTTTCAGTTTTGTAGTAGTTTAAAAGTGCTACATACTACTTGAAATTATTGTTTACAGATTAGTGCCACGGGCTGGAGGGAGGATCCGGTCGGCCTCTGATTTCCGGATGCCCTCACACATACAGTACTTCCAAACTCAAGTCCAGCCATAAGCTATTTTGCTAACACATCAGAGTAATCTGTATTTTTGTATGTGATTTCTACTTTTATAGACTTGTTTTAAAATAAAACACATTTTTATAAAAATGAATACTTCAGCTAAGTTGTATTCCTTTTTTCCTTCTCTGTTTTTCTTAAGCACTCTGGTTAAAACGAGCATTAGGTATGGTGTGAGATGTATCTCAGCCCTCTGGATGTGTGTGTGTGCTAAGTCATATCCTACTCTTGCAACCCCATGGACTGTAGCCTGCCGGGCTCCTCTGTCCATGGGATTTCCCAGGTAAAAATGCTGGAGAGGGCTGCCATTTCCTTCTGCAGGAGATCTTCCTGACCCAGGGATCAAACCTGCATCTCCTGCGTTGCAGGCAGATTCTTTATCACAGAGCCAGCCACCAGGGAAGCCCCAACCCTCTGAACAAGGCACTTTAAAACAAGCCGTAACATGGTCCCTTTTGCTTCATCTACTTCATGTGTTGTCAAATTAAAATGTTTATAATTCTTTGACAAGGTAGTAAATACAGGCTTGTTATGGTTAAAGTGCTTCTTAAAGTATTAACATATTTTATAAGACATTTGAGATTAAGTGATAAGTACTATCAATAAAGTATCAAGTACTATGGATAAAAATTAGCTCATAGCACTTTTTAAATACAGACTTGATCAGCTTATGCTGTGCATTTTATTCTCATTAGCAAACTCTGAATCATTTACCCTATATCCAGAGATCTTCTAGGAATTAACTCCTTTTGAACACATTCAAATGGTAGAATGGTGATTCTTCCTGAATATTACCCAGTTTTCTGCTTCCTTTTTAATATCAATACCATGCTTCATTTTATCAAAAATGTCAAATGCAAAAGGTAAAGATGGTGAACTTCATTTCCTGCTTTCAAAGGTCATTAACTCATGACCAATCTCATTTCATCCATCTCTCTCTCGCATCCAATCAAAGAAGGCAATGGAAACCCACTCCAGTATTCTTGCCTGGAAAATCCCATGGACGGAGGAGCTTAGTAGGCTGCAGTCCATGGGGTCACCAAGAGTCAGACATGACTGAGTGACTTCACTTTCACTTTTCACTTTCATGCATTGGAGAAGGAAGTGGCAGCCCACTCCCGTGTTCTTGCCTGGAGAATTCCAGAGATGGCAGAGCCTGGTGGGCTGCTGTCTATGGGGTCGCACAGAGTCGGACACGACTGAAGCGACTTAGCAGCAGCAGCAGCTCCCATCCCATAGACATCACATGCTCACAAGATCACTTTTGAGGCAAAACTGAGACCCATGACTTCATGAATAGCTCAGTATCTACGTGAAAAATAGTCTTCTGATTTAATTCTGAAACGTTAAATATCAAGATGATGTTGAAAGTACCCTTGCTATCTAAAAGCTGTTTTCTTACATAGATTTGTTTTGCTCAGGCTCCAAACACAGATCATACTTTGAATTTGGTTGACAGTGACATTTTCTTTAGTTTCTTAATCTTAGTGTTCCTTTTCTTTATTATCCTTACAATTTACGTATGGAAGAAACTAGGTTGCTTGTCCAGTGTTCTCCATTCTGGATTTTACTGATGTGATCCATCCCTGGAATAATGTTTAACAGGTTCATGTGTCCCCTATTTCCATAAACTGGTGGTTAGATCTAGCAGCAAAAAGCTCCTAACCAAGAGTGAGTTTGCCACCCAAGAGACACTGGTAACATCTGAAAATGGCTTTGATTGTCACAAGTGGAGAGGAGCTATTGGCCTCCAGCAGGTACATACCAAGGATGCTGCTAATCATCCCACAATAGCTAGGACAACTCCCTTTTGAATCATCTGATCCAAAACCTCAGTGCCAGTGTTGAGAAACCCTGATCTAGAGGCTTAGTTTGTCAAGGTTTTTTTGAACATCACAGCAAGGAGACAGGATAGGCGGTATACTGTCTTCCATCAAGAGGCACACACCATATGCTTTTCATTCTTTTTACAAATCAAGATTGCCAGGAGAAATATCTATAACCTCAGATATGCAGATGATAGCACTAATGGCAGAAAATGAAGAACTAAAGAACCTCTTGAGAGTGAAAAGGCTGACTTAAAACTCAACATTCAGAAAACTTAAGATCATGGCATCTGTTCCCATCACTTTATGGCAAATAGAAGGGGAAAAAGAAGCAGTGACAGATTTTATTTTCTTGGGCTTCAGAATGACTACAGATGGTGACTGCAGCCATGAAATTAAAAGATACTTACTCTTTGGAAGGGAAGCTATGCCAAACCTAGACAGCATATTCAAAAGAAGACATCACTTTGTCTATATAGTCAAAGCTATGGATTTTCCAGTAGTCATTATGGATTTGAGAGTTGGACCCTAAAGTAGGCTGAGCATTGAAGAACTGATGCTTTCGAACTGTGGTGTTGGAGAAGACTCTTGAGAGTCCCTTCGGACAGCAAGGAGGTCAAACCAGTCAATTCTAAAGGAAATCAGCCCTGAATATTCATTGGAAAGGACTGATGCTGAAGCTCCAGTACTTTGGCCACCCAATGCAAGGAGCTGACTCATTGTAAAAGACCCTGATACTGGGAAAGATTGAAGGCAAAAGAAGAGGGCAGCAGAGGATGAGATGGTTGGATGGCATCACTGACTCAATGGACATGAGTTTGAGCAAACTCCAGGAGACTGAAGGACAGGAAAGCCTGGTGTGTTGTAGTCCATGGGGTCACAAGGAGTTGGACATGACTTAAGAGACTGAACAACGATGTTAACAGTCTGCCTGTGGCTCTTGATTCCTCTTCTATACCCTAGCTGCAAGTTCCCAAGATTATTAGGTAAACTCTAGCCAAATGCAAAATATTTATTTCTGAATAAAGTGACTCTGTCCCTTCTATCATGGTGAACTTAATTACAATCCAACATTGACTAATGATCTACAATGTAGAGGACAGGGCAAGGTCTAGAACATGAGGAAAGGCACTAACTGGTCCAGGAAAACTGGAAACACCTTTCCATTGGATAACCTAACCTTGGAACAAACAGAAGGCAACCTTCTCTCTCGTTACCTCTCCTCTTCCCATCCCCACCTGGCCAAAGGTCCCAGAAAGTCAAAAAGCTCTCTCCACCAAGACCCTAACTCCTTATACAGGTTGAAATCCTAAAGCCTAAACTCATTTTAGAGATTTGTTTTCCTTTAGTGTTTGAGTTACTTTTTAGTGAATCTAAATATCAAGATGCTGATATTTTGGTATTCCTTAAACCAAATATCAAAATATCTACCTTGTACATGTGAGCAGTAAAATCATTATATTTAAGATCTTCAGATGGCAGGGGCTGTGACTGATGAGAGACAAGAAGGCAGACTTTTTTCCATAGACACACATTTTTAAATTAACAGGCACACTGGAATTGATCATATCCCAACCATCACCATGCATTTCATGTGTTTTAAACAAAACCTGGTCATTTACATTGGCTCTTAAAATGTCTTTTTATTCAAAACTATTACTTTACTACTCAGGATAGTAACTGTAAGTTAACTTGCAGTGGTATTGCTGCAAGAACCAGAAAATAGAGGGGTTAGTATCTGGTGATATTTTAATCCAAAACTACATGGTAAGTGGATAATCCACAACAACCCATTTCAAAGACTAGTGGAAATACTTCAAAGATGAATAGAATGATTTTGTGAAAAATCACTTATCATAAAATGATGCTTTGAAGGAAAGTTCTGAAGCAGGAGGAAATAGCTATTTAACAAAGCTTAGTTACCAAAGGTATTTTAAATAGATTTTCTTGTGAAAGTCGTTCAGTCGTATCTGACTGCTTGTGACCCTGTGGACTATACAGTCCATGGAACTCTCCAGGCCAGAATACTGGAGTGGGCAGTCCTTCCCTTCTCCAGGGGGATCTTCCCAACCCAGGGATCAAACCCAGGTCTCCTGCATTGCAGACGGATTCTTTCCCATCTGAGCCACCAGGGAAGCCACTTGTGAAAGCAAAAAACCAGTCTAGTATGATGACAGCCTCACAAATCATTCAAGTTCTCTTCAATCAAAGAGAATAGGTGTAGCGGGGAAAAGAAAAGTTGCAGTTGGGGAAGACATTTTAAAAGAATGGTTAAAAAAAAAGTTCCTCAAATACTGTCCTACTCACTGCAACTATCAGTACATCACCCCCTGACATACAGAGACTCCCTAACAGTGTTGTTTCAGCATGTAAAACCATCATTTATTATAATACATTTCTTCTCTAGCTATGCAGGTTTTCACGTATTCTTTGTACAAATCAGAACACATAATCCCTACTCCCAGTGAGCTCACAATCTTCTGGTATGAAAAGGTGTGTATTGTTCAGATAGAGCTCTTCAACAGTCTCTTCAGGATCCCAAGTTTTGAATTTTTTTTAACCACTGATGATTATTAAAATTTTCTAAAAAAAATCTATCATAAAATAAAGCCTATGACACTTAAAAAATATTCTTTATACGTTTCTTCATGTAGAAAACTTATATATAAGCCTTCTTATTGATTTACACCCTAATCCTTCATGGTTACTTTAATGTTAAGGAATAAACTGCATTTAAAATAATTCTTCTTTCCAGTTCACCAGTTCATGTAATATGATTTTGATTTACTGGGTCCATGAATATAAATACATATGGAACATCAAAAACATTAACTCAAAAATATCTGAAGAATCTACATTTACCAGGAAGCACTGTGTCACATATTAGCAGTGAATGAAGTCAACAGGGAAAAAAATAATAGTGTGGAAAAAAGACAGAAATATAATATTTTGGGGCAATCTGGTTTTCAAATAATGACCCATAAGAGCTGAAGAAATAAATGAACTAAAAAAGAAAAGATAACAATGGTTTACTTTTATTCACATGTAGTTGCCATTAAAAGGAACTCATTCATAAGAACATTTTTGCTATTCTAACAACCTTTGCCTCTTGTCATGTCGTACAAATAAATCCCACAACTGGTCAGAAATGTTAGAGGTTATATCACAAATGGAGCACATTAAGTAGTTTTTAAACCTTTAAATTATGGCTTATAAACAATTTTACATAGCAGGTTACCTATTAATATGTTACATATTAAACAGATCTATGTACCATTTTGGACAATCAGATTTCCATGATATTAAAGATGGAGTTGGCATTTTTGTCAAAAAGGTATTTTAAACCTGTTAGGGAGTTTCTATAGTGTGGAATTTTACTTCTTTTAAAGTGGTATCTTAAGTATATCATTATTAAATCAAACCAGAAACTAGATCCATCTCTGGGAAAACACCAATTTTTATTGTATGCATGATGTAAACTCCTTGTGAGTAGTATCTATGCAGTTACTCTCAACTAAGAAAAACAAATTCTTGTTCTGGATATACATCAAAACCTAAGATTATCTTTGTATAATAATAGTACTTAAAAAATCTGACAAGAACATGATAAATGTTGCCAAAACTAAGAGCACTTGGTTTAATTACACATCCTAGTTTTCACAGAAGCTACTTCTGAGCTCACCAGATTCAGTTCTATCAGGATAGCGGCTGTTCAGATCACTAGTGTACATCCAGCACCCGACGCAGTATATGGCACAGAGTCGGTGTTCAATAAATATTTCAGTGATTGAAGACAAATTTTTAACAGCAAGTGGGAAAAAAAAATACAATTTTGAATAATTGGAATAAGAATACCAATTGTCTCATGATGCAGCAAGAGGAACTTTTTGTGATAATTCTAGGATTACTTATAAGTAAAGTGGGAATTAGGTAAAGAAACTGTCATAATGGGAAAAAAAGAAAAGCCACAACATTTCATCCTCCAAATCTAATGTGTAAAACTTGGAATATGAGCTAGGTGAAAACTACCATGATAATAAGTAAGGCAAGTCCAAAACTAAAATGTTTTGCATATTTATTAAACAGTCCACTTTCCTTCTGACAATACTCCTAACACTAGATGAAAATTTTTATAGGTTTTACCAAACTCATAATAGAATGTGCCTAATCAGTTCATCCTTTTAGTCTTTAAATCCATGTTTAGAGAGTTTTAAATATGGAAGAACTTTATCAGCCTCAAATCATTAAAAAAAAATTACCAAAGACCTAAAATAATTATTGGCTAATACATTTGTAATAGAGCCATGATTTTGTCCGTATATATTTCACCCAGCATTGTCAAAATTAACCTGATAGTCAATTAAATGAAAACATCCATAAATAACTTCAAAAATGATTGAACTTTTTAAATCAATAGTCATAACAATATCATTGTGTTCTGAAATTAGAAAACTCTTGGCAGATATATAAAAACACATTTACCTACTTCAATTAGGTCAATGTCAGGATTTATCAAAATTCTCCATCAAAGTTTTTATAAAAATCTTGATCTTTAGGTACTATAAAAAAAATACTAATCAAATGAGATGTGTTTGGTCTGACCAATTCCACAAAGTGAGGAGGAAAAGGAAGGAAAAAAAAAAAACTTGTACAGTTAAATTTCAAATCCTAAACATTAAATCTTTTATTTGCGCCCTACCTCTCTCAATTTATAAAGATACCAGCACTCTTGGAAACCAACTGTAAGCAGTATCAAAATTTCACTGTTATGAATTCTCATCAGTTTAGTCCTCCATTTTCTTACACAGTGAACATCTTTTCCATCAGAATCCATCAGAAGAATAATGCAAATCTCACTTTCTTGGTTGCCTTTCAGCCCAAGGCCAACCAGTCTGAACAACAGCCAAAAACTGTAGCTTTATGACCGGTAGGCTGTTTCTGCAGTAAAACTATTTCTCTGGCAATCAAAATGGTCATCTGAGGCAATCCTTCACTGCTCTAGAAGCACAGTTCGAAGCTCATCTTCTTTCTCGATCAACATTGAAGCAATGGCTCCATCATTAAATTCAAAGGAAGTTCCTCCATCCACAACCATGCATGCATCCCAACACCGAGAACGCACACACACCCTAGGCAGAGAGAGACATCTTGTTAAATATCAACACTTTGCTTAAACTGCAATTCCTTTAAAACACTGAGTTTTCATCTAAACTGGCAGGTAGATCATTTGGCCTTGATTTTTAAAATCAAGTTGCCCTGCCCTTTGTTATGAGAGAATTAGTGACTATGTCAATATGAGTACATTACCCAAGAAAATCTCGAAATGTTCAGGATAGCTCCATTTACCCAAACACTTAAAAGTGAACAAATTCAGACTTGATGGAACTCATAGGAGCTTTTTGAACATTATTACCATTACAAGTATTTTAAATGTTGAGCAAGAATGTAACTACTGTCATGTAAAATTTTTACTTATATACAGAAAAGGCACAAATTATCAGCATACAGCTCAATGAACACACTTGTGTTATCATCACCCAAATTAGGAACTGAATGTTACACTCAGTTCCTGGGAAGTTCCCTCATTGTTCTTAACCCATCTCCCAGTCTCTACTCCCAGCCCCTCCTTCCCAAGCATATCCACTATCCTAATTTCAATTACCACAGTAATAATAGCTTTGTCTATTCTTGAAATTCTATATAAATGGAAGAATACAATAGATATGCCTATATCTGGCTTCTTTTGCTCAATAGTATGCTTGTGATCATCCATGTTATCATATGTAGCAGCACTGGGTTCATTTTCATTGTTGTCTGAAAACACCTGCATTGTACGAAAATACCAAAATTTAAGTATCCCTTCTACTATGCATGGATATTAGGGTTTTGATCTATTGGGAACATTGCTGCTATGAATATTCTTGAGTATGTCCTTTGGTGCCTACATATCTGTCAGTGTATATACTTCTGCTGGATATATATCTTGGAGCAGAATCACTGAGTCACTGCACGTCCTATATTCAGCTTTGGTAGGTAACTGCCAAACAATTTTCCATATTATTCCTAACAGTATAAAAGTTTCATATAAAAGTTCTAGTTGCTCCACTTTTATATAAAAGTTGTAGTTGCTCCACCTTATCAACAACTGGTATTTTAGCTAGGCTAGTGAGTGTGTGTGGCATTGTATTTGTTCAGTCGCTCCGTCATATCTGACTCTAAGCGACCCCATGAACTGCAGCACGCCAGGTTCCTCTGTCCTTCACTATCTCTTGGAGTTTGCTCAAACTCATGCCATTGAGTCAATGATGCCATCCAACCATCTCATTCTCTGTCGCCCCCTTCTCCTCCTGCCCTCAGTCTTTCCCAACATCAGGGTATTTTCCAATCAGTCAGCTCTTCACACCAGGTGGTCAAAGTACTGGAGCTTCAGCTTCAGCATCAGTCCCTCCAATGAATATTCAGGACTGATCTCCTTTAGGATTGACTGGTTTGATCTCCTTGCAGTCCAAGGGACTCTCAAGAGTCTTCTCCAGCACCACAATTCAAAAGCATAAATTCTTTGGCACTTAGCCTTTTTTAAGGTCCATCTCTCACATCCTTACATGACTGTGGTATTATATGATATAGTTTTAATTTATATTTCTCAGATGAATAAGGTCAAGGATGTTTCTCCATACACTTATCAGCCATTTGGATATTCTCTTTTGCGAAATGCCTGTCCAAGACTTTCAGCCATTTTTCTAAGGGGTTACCTGCCTTCTTTCTTACTGACTTGTAAGAATTTTTGTAATATATTCTGGATATTAATCCATTGCTGGACATAGATACTATTTCACTGTGTGGCTTGCCTCTATTTTCTTGATGGTGTCTTGATTAACATAAGTTAATAACTCTAATTTAGTTCAACTTGCCAATCTGTTGCTAAGAAATAGTTTCCAACCAAAGTCATAAAGCTATTCTCCTACTTATATGAGCAAACATTTAATTGAATCTTTTAGTCTTACCCAATCTGAGTACAGATTTGTTGATTAATCAAAATTAATTCTCAAATGATTAAGTGATTTTAAAATATGATCACTATCCTCCTTAATGTCTTTCCTAGAAAAAAATCAATTATGCATTTTCAAAAAAGTACATGCACACTGTAAGAAGCAATTTGTAATTGAACTATTCTTTGCTTGCCATGAGATGAAAAGTGAAAGTGAAAGTCACTTAGTTGTATCTGACTCTTGTGACCCCGTGGACTATAGCCTGCCAGGCTCCTCTGTCCATGGAATTATCCAGGCAAGAATACTGGAGTGGGTAGCCATTCCCTACTCCAAGGGGATCTTCCCAACCCAGGGATCGAACCCAGGTCCCCTGCATTACAGGTGAATTCTTTTTCATCTGAGCTACCAGGGAAGCCCAAGAACACTGGAGTGGGTAGCCTATCCCTTCTCCAGGGGATCTTCCTGAGCCAAGAATCAAACTGGGGTCTCCTGCATTGCAGAAGGATTCCCCACCAGACAAAGTATCAGGGAAGCCCTAACTATAGTTAAGTTTTCTTGTCAGTCTGGAAGACTGGGCAACCTTTACAAAAATTATAAACATTTTTGTATATCTTCTTCTCCTAAAAACAAAAAAATCTGTGGCAAATTTAATAGATGTGGGCATGGGTGGGAGATTCAGCTGTAGGGAAAAGCTGAGAGAAATGAGTCCTTTATGTTGCTACACAATTTAGGCTTTATATGAATGTATGTCCTGCTTTTATTCCATAGTATATGAAAAAAAAGTTGCTTTCCAGTTTCTTTTGAAGTGACAATCCGATCTTACTGTGTCTTACTTAATAAAGTAAAAACAGACAAGCACACATTACCCAATTAAATAACCATGTCCTTTCTATTCAGTTAAATTTTAGTTTCTCTAAAGTGAAACTAAATTTTAAAGAAAATATCACTTTACCCAGGTTATTAGCGTGATACCGCTTAGCTCCACAGGTTCTACTTTTCCTGCATGATTAAGTTTGAAGCAGTGATTTAATGAAACTGAATACTTTCACAGCCAAATGTGCTTTATAATTAATTACAAGGGAGGAAAACAGATACACGAAGACCGTGGAAGCTTACTTTGAGGTGAAACAACGCTGACGACTGCTTGAGAAAATTCTGTTTGCTATTGGTTCTCGAATACTGAAAAGTATTTTTGGTTCTTCTGGACTGTAGAGCAATGATTCATTATATTCGTTTGTTACTATAAAGGAAAAAAGCCAAATATTAGCACATTCAATGAAAAACAGTCACTTCTGAGAAGTGCAAAATGAGAATGGATGCCATCCCCAATTTAAAGGCAGTTCTATTCCAAAAGTCTGTTTGGCAGCAAGTTTCTTGGAACTCATGACAAACCCCATTAAAAAAAATGCTTATCAACAGGGAGTATGTTCCCAGATTAGCCCACAGAAGCCTACATCACCCACAGGATAGCAGAAATAGGTGCCTTTGGTGGGGGAAGGGAGGACTGTAAAGTCAGTAAACAAAGAGAAACTAGTTTGAAGCACTCAAAAATAGAACTTGAGTTGACATAATCCCTTGCTGATAAGTTCCGTTCCAAAACATCATGCCAAAAGGTCCATGAGGTATTTCTACAAGTCTTCGGGATCCACTTTCTCCCTAACCAAGAGGCACACAGGGTTGGCATGCAGAGCACAAACTGGCTGAAGACAACCGTACAAAGAGACTGGGCTGGAAGAAAGCATTTAGTTGACCGCCACGTCAAAGGACATCACAAGACTATCAGATAATCTACCTTACATACCAAAATTTCATTTGAATTAAATGAAGTGTCTGTGACAGTGACTGCACCATTGGCATTCACTATTGCTTCTGAAGATAAGTCAAATCTTCAAAGGAATAATATTCATTCAGTAAAGCAGTATGTTTATTAAAAGAAAAATCACTGTTTTATATATACCCTTAAATTACTTTATGTAACTGATACAAATTTCAGTTGTTTTATATACATTGTTTTAAGTGAAATTATCTAATGAAGAATCAGTTACTATAAATGCCTCACTTTCCTTCCTTTGGTACAAATTTAACACTAATTCCAACTCAAAGCCATGATTAAAATAATATTTTAGGTCTCAAAATCAGAGAGGGAGAAAATAATCCATTTTAGAGACCTGAAAGTAACCACAGAGATTTAGTCCTGTTTACAAACTATTTTAAAGGCAAACCATCTCAACAAAGAAAGTCTTACGGGAATCCAAAACACACAAATAAAATGAATTGACTCTGTTAATATACTTTACCATGTATTGCTACATCACTTTAAAGGCAACCAATATGAACATATGTTACGATAACTCTCAAATTCAAATGTTTACAGATGACAATTGCAGCATAGGTAAGTAAAGGCAACTATGAAGAGTCTGGATTTTTGTGTGTTTTTTTTTTAAATAATTTACCTTGAAATCTTAGGATACTCTTCAACTAAACAGAGACAACACTATTTAGCTTTAGTTTGTGGTCCATACCTTCGAAAATGATCCTGGTAGATGAATAGACCTTAGTCTGTTAAAATTTCACATGCAAATCAAATGAATGTGGTTTCCAATTTATTAATTTAAATATTTTTTTAAATAATTTTTAACAAATTTGAAGAACTGCCCAGCAATCTAAGTCCAGTCCCTCATCCCACTGCTGAGGAAGCAGAAGGGCAGAGAAACAGCCTTGCCCAGTCTCAGTGAGTGACTGGCTGGTCTGGACTGGAACCCAGCTCTTCAGATTCCCTGCTAAGTATCCTCTCGCCAGCACTGCTGGTTCTCTTGAAGGAATGCTGAAGTAACTAGGCAGGAGTACACAGGGAAAGGATAGATGACATTTCAGTGAATGTCAAGGTAAGCATTCACGGCTCAATGAATTCTTTCTCATTCGGAGGATACTAATGGCACACCAAATTTAGGTGTACATTTCCTACTTGCCTGATGTGTATTTTTCTACATTTTCCTATTCCCCAGGAAAAGTTTGCAATCACACTGTTTTGACACAGAATTTAGATTTCCACGGTTGATAAAAATCATAAAATTTCAACTTTAACTTTCTACTGATTCAATATATTTTAAGGGGTATTATATTGTTGGAGTCAAAAAAGTACTATGCTTTGCTTAATTAGACAAGTACATTTCATGATAACATCCTCAAAATATATACAGAACCTAACTAAAAATGTCAGTGATTATGATCATTTGTCACTGACCTTTCTCTACCAATTCTCTGTTCAACGGAAGACTTAAATTTCCTTGTCGGTTTGCTATTGAAAAAAGAAAGGGGGAAAATATCTTGATTAAATAAAATATTTTGTAACATACTATATAGCTTACATACAATAAAATCTACACATTATATAGCATATTATAATTGTAACATAAGAACTATTTGGTACTCACCAATATTTAGAACATCTTCCACAGCCTGAGGTGCCACTCTATTAATATTGAATGACCTACAAATAAATACCACAAATATTTTTTCTTCTTTTAGTTCTAAAAACATACTAAAAATGAAAAAGGAATAATCTACTTAATGTACAAAGAACTCTTAGAAATTATCAGGCAAAAAAATACCCAAAAAACAATAGCCACCTCATATAGTTTTTAAAAGTAGGCAAAGTACATGGGTTAACAGTCCAGGGGTCATATGAAAATATGTTCAGTCTCACTCATACCTGAGGAGATATTAAAACAAGATTCTTCTCAGATTTTAAAGGTTAAAAACTGATAATGTACTGACATGGGTATGGGAAGAGAAGTATGACCATATACTAATGGCATTATAAAAATTGCAATTAGACAATTCTGTTAAGATTTAATATGAACATATTCTTCAATCTAGTAGTTTACCCTAAAATATATTTGCACATATAATACACAAAGACAAGTATAAGGATATTTACAGAAGCATTGTTTATAATAATAGCAAAACCACAGAAAGCTGGGTAAATATAGCTACTCAGTTGAATACCACATAGATATTAAAAAGACTAACTACAGCCATATGTATAATACCAAAGTGGAAAGAGATCAACATGTTAAGTTAAAAAACCAAAAGCATTATACAGTGTGCGTATGTGTATGTGTTTTGTTGTTTAGTCGCTCAGCTGTGTTCGACTCTGCAACCCCATGGACTGCAGCACACCAAGTCTCTCTGGCCTCACCATCTCTCGAAGTTTGCCCAATCCACGTCCACTGCATCAGTGATGCTGTCCAGCCATCTCATCCTCTGACACCCTTTTCTCCCTCTGCCCTCAATCCTTCCCAGCATCAGGAACTTTTCCAATGAGTCAGCTGTTCTTTATATGTATACAGAATTTCCTTGTGTTACTTATATTAAAAAATATATAGAGTGGTTATAGCTGGAGATTAGTACTAGAATATAAAATGAAAGAAATCAGCTTTTCATTGTATCCCCTTTGTATTATTTAACATCTTTTTTATTTCTTTAATTTTTATTTATTTTTTACTTTTTGGCTGCGCTGAGTCTTCCTTGTTGCTTGTGGGCTTTTCTCTATTTATGCCGAGTGGGGGCTACTCTGTGGTGTGTGGGCTTCTCACTATGGTGACTTCTCTTATCGCGGAGCACGGGTTTCTAGGGCACACAGGCTTCGGCAGTTGTGGCTCCGGGGCCCTAGATACAGGCTCAGTCGCTGTGGCACACGGGCTTAGTTGCTCCACAGCATGTTTAATCTTCCCAGATGAAGGATCAAACCTGTGTCCCCTGTACTGGCAGGCAGATTCTTAACCACTGGACCACCAGGGAATTCCTAACACAGGTTTTAAACATGTGTTTCTTTAAATTATAAAATCATTTCTGAAGGTGAGAAAGTTTTAGCAAGATGCCATGAGTAACCACTTAAGAACAAACATTACCACAAACATAAATAACTTTTAAAAGCAGCAACTTTTAAAAGGTGGTTAGACCCTTAACCACTTAGGGTCTAAAAAGGTGGTTAAGGAAAGGGTTTTTTTTAAAAAAAAAAAAAAAACACAACTCTTCCAGCTAATTTAGAATTCTCCTCCTGCCTCTACCTCTTCCCAGTAGATGCTCCTTCAAAAAGGAACAGTACTGCATAGTCACACAACTCTAAACCTAACTCAGGGGCTCTTAACATTTTCAGGGAGGAAGAATAAGATATGCTCCATATACCTGCTCTAATCCTATACTCTCCGTATTTTGAAAAATGTGAAAACACTTTGGACATTCTCTTAAGAAAAATGCAGATATATAAAAAATTTTACATTAAAAAACTGGAGTCATTCACAGACCATAGCCTTATGCTAAAAAAAAAATAAATCTAAAATATGGCCCTTGCCTAGCCTATTTCACCATTACTCACCCTCCAACTTCACATTCCAGACACCCTAAGCTCTGTTCTCACCTCTTGCTCACACTCACTATGTGGTAGAAGGCAAAATACTTCAAGTGCTGTGACTTTCTTCTTGTTCGGCATGAGGTTCACAAAACCCATCTCATTAGCATTACTACTGTCACACACTATAAGCCATAAGGCACTGGGGGCAGTATCTGGCTCTTGGCAAGAACTCAACGAAAATGTCAAGTACAAGGAAATCTGTATGAGTTACACTCTTAATTCCTCATTACTGTTTTAGGATTCTATTTTAAAGTCACAGAAAAATAAGCTGTTAATAGGGTTCCACTGAAATAAAATATGTAAAGGGCAAAAGATAATAGTGATTCATATATCTTTACTATAATTAAGAATTAGTTTAAGAGAATAGAAGTCTTACAAGACATGTTCTAACACTCCTAGAACTATGACTTATTAGGAACACCACAAGTCAATACAAACTAAGTTATCTGAGTTGGGGTCAAATTAAAACTAATTTCCTGTGGGCGTAATCTAAGTCTCAGCCAATTGAAGCTACCCTTAGGAGTGGTTTACATTCTACATCAAAGACAAACTATATGCCAAAGCAGGTGTGACCCAGCAAACAACAACTTTTCCTGAGATCTACAACCTTTACCACTTAAGAGTGCTGATGTGAAATCAGACATAACTTCTACTGAAGACAACCGAATTGAAAGGCAGAGAGTCTCATATCTTCATCAGCTAGTAAAACTTTCTTTTTACTTAAGAACACCTCTTCATCCTTAATTAGGCCTTCTGGGACAGAATGTACAAAGGAGGAGGACTGGGAACAGGCTTAAGAACTCATGGAAACATAAACGATCCTGCTCCGTGGTACTTCTCTACCGTGTGCTGCAAACACATTCCAACCGGGAAGAGGACTGAGGTGACTGACACTGCGATGATGCACAGACGCTTGTTGTGCAACAGAACCACCACATCCTATGTCTTGTGCAAGAATTTCTGGAAATGCAAAGATGGGACAGCTAATCCCTGAGCTCTTCCCCCCACCCTCCCAAACACGTGATTAGGCTGTATTTCCCACCCCTCTAGCCACACACCATGTAACTACATTCTAGCTAAAGGAATAAGAGTGACTATCACAGGCAACTCTCCTTCCAAGGAGTAAGCGTCTTTAAATTTCATGGCTGCAGTCACCATCTGCAGTGATTTTGGAGCCCCCAAAAATAAGTTATGATCAACCTAGATAGCATATTAAAAAGCAGAGACATTACTTTGCCAACAAAGGTCCGTCTAGTTAAAGTTATGTTTTTTCTAGTGGTCATGTATGGATGTGAGAGTTGGACTGTGAAGAAAGCTGAGCGCCGAGGAATTGATGCTTCTGAAATGTGGTGTTGGAGAAGACTCTTGAGAGTCCCTTGGACTGCAAGGAGATCCAACCAGTCCATCCTAAAGGAGATCAGTCCTGGGTGTTCATTGGAAGGACTGATGCTGAAACTCCAATACTTTGGCCACCTCATATAAGAGTTGACTCACTGGAAAAGACCCTGATGCTGGGAGGGATTGAGGGCAGGAGGAGAAGAGGACGACAGAGGATGAGATGTCTGGATGGCATCACCGACTCGATGGACATGGGTTTGGGTAGACTCCAGGAGTTGGTGATAGACAGGGAGGCCTGGCATGCTGCAATTCATGGGATCACAAAGAGTTGGACAGGACTGAGCAACTGAACTGAACTGATCATGGGCAACACTTCTCATAACCTCCCACAGGGGACCCTCCAAGCTTTTCCTCCTTCTGTGGCTCAGAAAGTCTATGGTTTACAGTTAAGCCCTGAAATTAAATCCTACCTCCTCCATTTATAAGCCACATGGCTTTGGGCAAGTCAGTTAACTTTTGAGACTTTTTATACTCTATCAGTGAAAATAAAACTAACTAATCTCAGAGTATTCTTGAGAATTTAAGTACGATGATATACTTACTTGGGACAAAGAAAGTGCTCAAAGATGGTACTGCAGTAAGTTGAAATTATTAATGTAATGTATAGAATGTATAAGCTTTCCCTCAGTATCTCTGATCCCTAGCCTTCTCTCTTCTCCCCCAGTGCTTCTCTTTTCTCCCCTTACTCTCTGAAGAGAAAAAGGATCAAATGATACAGGGGAAATGCAATCATAATGAAAGAATTATCAGTAATAACAGGAGAGTAGAACACGTCAGAAGCAAGCAAGCTGCATAAGGCTGAGTAGAAAAGAAAAGGGCCTAAGTGACCAAGGTGGCAGGGACAGGATATGGTTAGAGAGAGAGAGAACTGGCTCTGCACTAGAGCACCGAGCACAAAGCAGATTTTAATAAGCCACACAGAAAAGACAGAACTTCTAATCTAAGCCATACTTATTCAAATGCAACATCAACACAGGACTCAACTATAAGGTGAGTGGTAGAAGAAATAAAACTCAATTTTAAAGAATTCAAACTTAGTTTGATAAGCACTGTTTTAGCTGTATTTGTGAGCATGTAGTCATTTATTCAAAAAAAGCATTTTAAGTGAATAAGTATGAAGTATTGTGCTAAGCAAATAAAAAATTAAGCAGAAAAAAAAGTCACTAGTCACCATCCCATGTGCCTCAAGTTGCTCAAACTAACTGGGTATGAACTTACTAGAAACTAATTATGTGCTAAATGCTATAAGAATGCTATGAGGAAAAAGTGCTGGGTAAGGGCAAAAAAAGGGACTGATTAATTAGGCTTATGAAAAGAACAATGTCTTAAGCAAAGATTTTGACATTTAACTGACATTTGAAGACTGGAATTTTTAGCCAGTAGATGGAAAGTGGAAAATGTTCAGGCAGCCAATGCAGGAAGAAGGTACATTGAGCAAAAACAAAAAGCCCAGAGAGAACATGGCTTGTGCTAAGAATTGCAAGTAGCCTGCAGAGCCTCCAGTGTAACGGGTTAGGGTCAGGCCGCAGTAGGCTGGCAAGGAACCTTAGCTCATATTTAAAGGGCTTCATATGACAGTCTGAATAATGTGAACACAGTCAAGAGAGTTTTAAAGCACAGAAGGGAAATAGTGAGATCTATCTACATTATGGAAATATTACTCTGTGGTAGGAGTTATGAATAACAGTCTGAAAAAGCAAGGTGATGCACAAAGAATGTTCACTAAAAAGATGGGGGCCGACAGCAAGAAACAGCCATAGAAACTGAAAAGCAGAGGCTAGAATTTCTGAAGTACATCTGACAGGATTCAGAGACTGCTAAGTATAGAGGGAGAACAGGAAGACCCAGAGTTAAGAACCAGGCTTTAAGGAATAGTGTGTTTTCCTGAGACTATGAACTCAAGGGTAACAGTGATTATTCAGCAAGACAGGGAACCCAGTAGAACAACTGAAGACAATAAATTCAGTTTTGAACGTGTTGAATCTGAAGTGCTATTAACACCCTTATGTAGTTAGTAGGTAATTTTACAATATGAGCCTGTACTCAAGAGAGACGATGGCTACAGATAAAAGTCAGGGAGGCATAGGCATGTGTGTGCTAAGAAGTGGAAGAGACTTCCCAGAGAGGGGTCTTAGGGTAAGCAGGTTTCAGGATGTCCCAGATTATCTCCAATTAGGCCTTGAATGCACAAACTTCTGGGATATTTTTTGGTACTGTACTTTGTTTTCATTTCTTTATAACTTAAAATATTCATTTTTAAGATATACATTCCCTAGAAACATTCATTTTCTTTTTTCTCTTTACAAACCTAGGGCAGGAAGATAAAGAATGACCAGATCCAGGCTGAGCTATAAGTCAAGGCTGGACTCTTGGACCCAATCGATGAGTGAAACAGAAACTGAGCCAACCAATAAATCAACGCCAGGCTCCTTCCTGCGTATCAGAGGCCTCAGATACACCAATGTGAGACAGCAAGCAAATTATATTACTTAAAGTATTTCACAAAAGTTGATAAGCAACATTCCAAGTTACTCACCAGGCCTTTGATCCTGTTCCAGTACACAAATTGAGCCCAGAGCTCTTCTGTTTTTCCCATGGACCATCATCAACTGAAATCTCGTAGTAGGAAGCCCTATGAATTGAGAATATAAAACTGGATTTGTGGAACTTATGTCTCATGGTAAATGAGATAAAGTATCTTTTTCAAAGCTGATGAAATCTAAGTGGGTCATCCTGACTTAGACATACCTGACTTAGTAGGGACACATATCATGATGCTAATTCCAATACTGATTAAGTGAAAAAAATTCAAAAATATCTATGTGTCTACATCCTTCTCTGACCTATATGTGCCTCCTTCCATTAAGATTCCAAACAAGAGCTTCTTATAAATTTTTACCTAGCACTGCTATGGAAACATACAGAAGATGATTTCAGAATTCAAAAAGAAAATACCGTTCCTAGGGGAGTTTTATTCTCAGGAGCTAGTCCTTGACACATCTAAGTCTGCATCTAATCCTTCAAGTTACCAACCATTTCTACTTAACTGTTGTTTCTCAAGTTATGTACTAATGTGCCTTTTGAATTGACAGTAAGCTAGCAGAGACAATGAGGTTCTAAAGAAAAATCTCAACCAGTCCTGGACCAGTGAACAAAACTAGGGATAAAATAAGAACTGTAATTTTTTTTTAAAGATTTACATTTCTCAGATTATTTAATAAACATGGAATCAACTGGGTTTTCTGACACCAGCAAAAAAAAAGAAAACAAAATGACACCACTTTTTAACTGCATGAATGTTTAAGTGATTTGTAACTATTCAAAGAGCTTCTGAAACAATTTTGTGAACTATGTCTTAAAATAATGGTGTCAACAGTCAACACTGAGTTACTTTTACCCAGCAGATAAAAAAGCTAAAATAAACCCTTAACAAAATATAGCTTTTCAAAACAATAAGAATTATTAGACATGCCTGCAAATATTAACATTCAATGGATAATTTATCTCTTATTCTAACCCTTTCATTTTCTCCTGCCAAGCTCGTGGTTTATGAACGCTTCATATCATATAACTCCAAGTCGTTTTTTTCTCTGAAGTCGGCATTCTTTTTAAAAATAAAAGACAGCAAGTCTAATATTCACATTTAATCTATTTCATAGCTTTGTTATGTTTTCCTAGAAAATTAAGAATTTTAGGTACATTAGTCTATTATATACAATACAGACAAGTCAGCCAAATCCATTGGAATGGCTGCTATTATTCCAGAATCATGTAGAAACCAGAGATTAGAGGTAAGTGGGGACAGAAAAAAAAGCAGAGGTGTAGAGAAAGAAAAGTCAGGAGAGAGACGTTGAGTCCAAAACAAAGAGCAAATTTAGTGTCATTCTTACATGCAAGTTTATCAAGATTAGTCAACTCAGAATTTTGGTTTCAGGGAAATTATTTTTTTAAGGCAGCAATAAAACTCACAGTCCCTTTAGAGTGGGTATACTTCTTCTTAAATTGTCCACTGCTACAGCCCAAGAATAAGACATTCTAGGTTAGAACAAATAGGAGAAAAGAAAAAAAATTGGGCTTTTAAAATGTTCTTAAGTTTAAGAACATTATAAATGAGGCAGGAATAATATTGCCACACTTCACATTTTCCAAGCAAAGCACTTCAGTTTTCAGGAAGACTACAATTCTCCTGCGCACACTGAAGAAGAGCACAGGCTTAGCCCGGCTCTGTTGTTTATTAATTGTGTGACTTGGGGCAACTTACTTCACCTCTCTGAGCCATAGCCTGCCCTATAAAATGGAGATAATGATAGCATCAATATTTATTCAATCTATAAATATTTATTAAGTGCCTAATATCTTTTAATAAGCACTGTGCAAGGTCCTAGGGATTTAATAGTAAATGTAATAGACACAATCTTCTAGAAGTTTATATTCTAGTATGCAGGTCAGAAATTTTACAGTAATAATTACCAACTATTTAGAGTGTTGTTTACTGCTTTAAGCAATAAACAAGACACTATATAAGAAATAATACAAGATAGCCTTGAAACAGCACTGCCAGGAGGGAGGCATGTACAGGCAGGGCAGTTCAAAAGATAAGTAATAAGTTCTCATGACCACTCAATACTGGATCTGGAATTAGAAATGCTGGGTTTACACGATGGTTCTGATGCTACATTAAATATATGAGCTTGGCCAAGTGATTTGAATTCTCCAAATCTCAGTTTTTTCACTGAGAAATACAACCACTTTTCCCACAGAGTTGCTATGAGCATACATGTGACAACATACACAACATGCACAGTGCCTGACAGGCAGCAGGCATTCAGTAAGTGTTCATTTCCTTTCTGCCTAAGGGTCTGTGTCATAGAATCTTTCCAAGTAATTTCTAATATTTCCAGTAGTTAAGGCTTTCTCAATAGCATCAGAAGCCCACCCATTGCTGTCCTTAATCTTAGTAAAGATAATCAGGTGAGGCATCAAAGACCACAAAAAGAACCAGCATCGGACATCAGGGGTAAACCAACCAGAGCACTGCCACCACAGAAAATAGAAGCATTCAATCTAACACCTCCTAATGGGACTTCACTGAATTTCCATAAGTCAATCATTGATCCCAATTTTCCTCCTTTTGTAAGTTATTTTTTAGTAAGTACAAATCATAAAGCAACGCTAGTAGAAGCTCTCAGAAGTTATGACCTTCAAAATATACAAACAGAATAATGTAAGCCCTTAAATGGCTTCCCTCGAATAAGCATAAACTCACAAAACATCTTTACCTTTGTCATCTATTTATTTTAATGGAGACTTTTTCCAATCTCATTTTAAGGTTGTTCTCTTCTGCCTGTCTTTAGCAACAGTGATGAGATTATATCACTGTTATATTCTCTTCCTTCTCTCTTATGACATAAATGTATCCATTACTCATTTCCATATTGCTTCAAACTTGATATGCTAGTTTTTTCTGTTGCTGCCTAAGTCTTACTATATTAAAATAAGCACATCTTTACACTTTACCATATTTTTAAGTTCTTTAAAGTATATATTTTTATTTGATTTCTTGAAGAATACATTTTACTTTTAATAACTTTTAATTATGTATTTTACCAGCTTCTAAAACATTAAGACACAGCTACTTTTATCTTATTTGTTTTTATATTCCTAGTTCACACAGTAGGTGTGCAATATATCTCGCTGCATAAATTTAAAATTATATTAATCAAAATAATTACAACTCAAAAAGATAATTCAAATCATTCTGTTGAATCAGGCTTTGTTCTCTTCAATACTACCTCCAGTAGTAAGTTAATGGCTAAAATGTGGTTTTTTTAAGACAACTTATTCTTACCATAATTAAACTTATTATAAAAGGATATGACTTATAATGAAGAGAATTTCAGAAAATTTGAAACTCTCAGGGAATCAATTACATGACCTTCAAAAGATCACATGGTTCTGGTAGCAGGAGAGTAGAATATAGATTTATCTCTAATCTTCCATCCCTAACTCCCTTACAACAACAACAAAAATGAGAAAGAAAGTTCTAAATGTACCACCAAGAGTTAAATTAACTTTACATGGCAGTCATTTTACAACTGGTAACTAGTGTCACACAATAAATTTTCTGCAAAAAAATTCTACTGACAATTTAAGCCTAAGTTATATTCAACACTCACAAAATAGATTTTATCAGTAATAAAACATATACTATGTTTTTATATTCCTACTGAAGAACTTCACTAATCTTAATTTTTGGTAATAATGGTTACAAATCTTAAGCTGTCAATACTCTTGCCTTATGATGTTGCACTGAAAAGGATCAACATTACTTATGCAGCATTCTTGTCAAAAATGCTTAGTCTGAATTTTATCATGCAGAGAAAAAAAAAATCATACAAATCTAAATTAAGGAATATTCTGCCAATATTCTGCAATTGGCTTAGACCATTCAAAAGTGTAAAAATCATAAATGACAAAACAGGGATGGGACTAGAAGCTATTCTTAATTTAATCTTAAGGGCTATGATAGCCAAATAAACAAGATTTATTTAAAAAATAAGTAATATTTTTGTGTTCTCCTTAACTGGATTCTGGATCAAAACAAGCAAATAAATAAATCAGCTTTATGAAACATTAAGACAATCGGTTGGGAAATCTTAATATGAACAGTCTATAAGATCAAAGTTTTATATCAACTGCAAATATATGCCTATATATCATTCTCTTAAACATTTATAAAGCACCTATATAACAGATGAAAGGCTCAGGGAAATACTGCAGTAAAGAAATCTGAGTAACTTTATTTAATGTAGGGCTTCACAAGCATTTTTGATAGTGAAACTTTCTTTCTTCTTAACATGTATTAATGTGTACAAAGGTGTGGAAACATTTCATTTAATAATTCATTTTTCTTATATAGGATTAATTCCTCACAAATCTTAGGTGGTAGAAATTTAATAAATAGCTTAAAATTACTAAAATATTAAACTTCAAACTCAAGATGACAAGTTTAAAAGTACCTGGATGATAAACTCTCCCCAATGAAGACTTCATTAAGTGCTCTGACTGGTAAAAGCTGGGGTCCAGAAGCCTCGAACCCTGCAGAGAATGAAAGAAAAATCCAAGAAAGCACCTTAAAACTTCAGAAATATTATCATATAAATTTTATAAAATATTAAAATATTTGTCTTAATAGCCATCTATACCTTAACATTAACATATAAATTAAATCTTAAAGTATTCATAATATAGAACCACAAAATCATCTAAATATTACAGCTGCAATGAGTAAACCTGAGTTCTTCTTGAAACAATTTTTCAAGAGTGAGGAAATATATTGATATTTATTCACAGCATAAGATTCAAGCTGGTACACTTGGCTAAGTTTTGCTCCAACCACAACCTGCTTCAGAAGTAGAGATGATCAAGTACTTCCAAGGGAGAGCCATTCTGGATTCAAGCAGCAAATTACACGGATGGCTCATGTAGGAAGCCAAATCAGTTATGTCAGAAGTCAGATTATTTTTCAAACAGAAAACGGAGAGTGCTTTTCAGCAACGGCAGCACTGGAGAAACAGTGCCACATCTCCTTATGTGACTCCTAAAACAATCACCTTTATTTTACTCTTTAAGGTTCTGTGCACAGCTTACATAACCTTCCTTGATGATTACTTAAACAGCGTGATGATTACTTTATCACGCAAAATCCACCAAAGAATCCCCCTGCTTTCTGAATCAAAGTGTGATTTTCACCTTCAAATGTTCCCTTTTACTTTTTTATCTTTAACCAGTCCCCAGCTTGAGATGCCAGCAGTTTCTTCTCAATGTCACCAATGGTAGCTTCATTGCACCCAAGTGTCTCCTGCTGGGCATGCACTATGGAACAAGATACCTTTTCTGTCTCCTCCACCTTTTTTTTTTAGTCAAAGCTAAACATTAACTTCAACTGTGGCAGCAGCTAGCCTCTAAAAATGGCTCCTGGTATTCACATTCTTGTATAGCTCTTCCTTTCACATCACACCAGAATTAGTCTCTGTGACCAACATAAGGCGGAAATGATGGTATGTCACTTCCGAGATTTGGTTTAAAATGATACCCTGGCTTCTACCTTGGTCACTCTCTCTCCCAGATACTTGTTCTGGGGGAAGATGTTTCACAAGCAGTCCAATGGAGAAGCCAACATAGTGAGGACCCGAAGCCGCCTGCTAATGGCCACGTGACGAGTTGTGGTTTAGACCTTCCAGTCCAGTTATGTGTCCCGGCCAACAGCTTAACTGTCACCTCCTCAGAGACCCTAAACCTGAACTAACAAGCTAAGCTTCTCTTGGATTCTTGACTTTCATAATCTCTGTGAAATCACAAGTATTTTGTATTAAGATGGTAAACTCTGGGGTAATTTGCTATGTTTTAAGATTCTGTGTTCCAGGTTAATGTGTATAGATATCTAATACACATTAGACACTTAATACTCTATAAAACTTTCCACCACTGTCACCAACACAACCACCAATTTAAATTCTCCTCTGACTTGTAGCCTATTTGTTTATATGCTTATTGAATATTAATTATATGTATAATTTCTTTTGGATTGTAACTGTCTAAAGTGACCCAACTATTCTTTCAATTACCACAAGTTGCTATTACAATACCATGGAGTCTTTAAAAACTTATTTGACTAAATTATATAATGGGCTAACATTATGAGCTAGATCTCATAACACAGAAGGAACTTGATACAAAAAGGTACATAAGAATGATGTGTTTGATCAAATTGATTTTACTTAAGACTGCATACTTAACTTCTGATATTGTCTTAATTTGGTACTAAATATATTCACATTTTTACAACTAACAAGCTTTATGACATAAAAAGTTTAAATTTATCGTTTATTTTTCTTTACATAGTGTAATTCCTAATGGAATGTTTTATATCTCCTCACAGATTTTCTGCAAATGTTCACTAACAGTAAGTACTCACTAAATATTGCTTTGTACTCAGTTGCCAAGTCATGTCTGAGGCAAGAATACTGGAATGGGTTGCCATTTCCTTCTTCAGGGGATCCTCCCAATCCAGGGATCGAACCTCTGTCTCCTGCACTGGGAGGCAGGTTCTTTACTGCTGAGCCACCAAGGAAGCCATCACTATATATTCAGTCAGTTCAGTTCAGTTCAGTCGCTCAGTCGTGTCCGACTCTTTGAGACCCCATGAATCGCAGCACGCTAGGCCTCCCTGTCCATCACCAACTCCCGGAGTTGACTCAAACTCATGCCCATCGAGTTGGTGATGCCATCCAGCCATCTCATCCTCTGTCGTCCCCTCCTCCTCCTGCCCCCAATCCCTCCCAGCATCAGGGTCTTTCCCAATGAGTGAACTCTTTGCATAAGGTAGCCAAAGTACTGGAGTTTCAGCTTCAGCATCAGTCCTTCCAATGAACACCCAGGACTGATCTCCCTTAGGATGGACTGGTTGGATCTCCTTGCAGTTCAAGAGATTCTCAAGAGTCTTCTCCAACACCACAGTTCAAAAGCATCAATTTTTCAGTGCTCAGCTTTCTTCACAGTCCAACTCTCACATCCATACATGACCACTGGAAAAACCATAGCTTTGACTAGACGGACCTTTGTTGGCAAAGTAATGTCTCTGCTTTTTAATATGCTGCCTAGGTTGGTCATAACTTTCCTTCCAAGGAGTAAGCATCTTTTAATTTCATGGCTGCAATCACCATCTGCAGTGATTTTGGAGCCCAAAGAAATAAAGTTGACACTGTTTCCACTGTCTCCCCATCTATTTCCCATGAGGTGATGGGACCAGATGCCATGATCTTAGTTTTCTGAATGTTGAGCTTTAAGCCAACTTTTTCACACTCCTCTTTCACTTTCATCAAGAGGCTTTTTAGTTCTTCTACACTCTCTGCCATAAGGGTGGTGCCATCTACATTTCTGAGGTTATTGATATTTCTCTGGCAATCTTGATTCCAGCTTGTGCTTCTTCCAGCCCAGCGTTTCTCATGATGTACTCTGCATATAAATTAAATAAGCAGGGTGACAATATACAGCCTTGAAGTACTCCTTTTCCTATTTGGAACCAGTCTGTTGTTCCATGTCCAGTTCTAACTGTTGCTTCCTGACCTGCATACAGGTTTCTTAAGTGGCAGGTCAGGTGGTCTGGTATTCCCATCTCTTTCAGATATAATAGTAACTGATAAATCTGAAATCTCACCAAAGTGTAACTGTATGTTTTTCTTTTGAATAGTCTTAACTTTTTATCTATATTCCTGTTTCTCCTCATCCTAATTTCCCTTTCTGTATAGCACTTTTACTATGTGTGCTTGCTGAATTTTACCTGAAATCTTTTATCAAAGGAGGAAGAGAATACATAAAATTGCTTCAAGTCTCATTAATCATCTTAATTCTGCTTATATTTCTTTCATGCTAATTGACTACCAAACATTATTTAATCATAAAACTGTTCATATACACCTTGCTTCAACAAAACACAAAAAGATGGACTCAATAGCAATTGACAGTTTTCTATCCAAGAGAATCCATTACAAAATTAATCATTAATTTATATTTTTAAGTACAGAATTGTGATACTAGGGACAGAGACCACAGTCCTATGCAGTTCTCTCACACTGTCAGACTATTAGACTATGCTTCCAGATCTACCCACCTTGGGTATACCCGTGGAACTAGTAATGGCTAATGGAATATGAGCAAAAGTAGTGAAAAGGCCTGGCTCCTAAAACTTTCCTAAGAATCCCCCACACTCTCATTGTCTTCTCCCCATAAGCTACGAAGGGCCAAACAGCAGATCAAAGGCCTTAGAAGATGGTAGGAGCCACTGTCTGGAGGTTGCCTCAACAACTCTTGGACAGTGAGCTGAACTATAAATAAAACTTCAGTATGCTAAGTCACTGAGATTCTAGGATTGTTTATCAAACCAATTCACTTATCCAAATTAATACAACTAGGCTTGCAAATAAGAAAGTTATGAGTTTATGTGATTAAAAGTTTTCTTTAACAAATAAATAAACTCTGCCTTCCCTTGACTTGGTATGTATGCACATCATTATGTTCTTGGGCTTTCCTGGTGGTACATACAGTAAAGAATCTGCCTGAAATGCGGGAGTCCGGGGTTCGCTCCCTAGGTCAGGAAGATCCTCTGGAGGAGGGTATGGCAACCCACTCCAGTATTCTTGCCTAGAGAATTCCATAGACAGAGGAGCCTGCTGGGCTGCAGTCCATGGGGTCGCAAATAGTCCGACACAACTGAAGCGACTTAGCAAGCACACACCTTCCCTTGAGGGTATAATGGCAATAAAAATGAACTCCTTTTCATTAATTTGTATACAACCCAGGTGGCTCAGGTGGTAAAGAATATGCCTGCAATGCAGGGGAGCCTGGCTCAATCCCTGGATCAGGAAGATGCGCTGGAGAAGGAAATGGCAACCCACTCCAGTATACTTGCCTGGAAAATTCCATGGACAGAGGAGCCTGGTGGGCTATAGTCCATGTGGTCGCAGAGTCAGACATGACTGAGCAACTGAGCACACCATATACATAATCTAGTTAAGGATAGATAACACTGAATAGAAAATTTTATTTGATTAAAGTTAAATCATCCTTCTTGCAAAAAAACTAGGATTTTTTTCTCCTTAATCCTGTGTTCCAAATTAAAAAGCTAAATCAGGGATCAAACATGGTGGTATATTTATAATCTCAAACCTACTCCTATATTCAAAAATCCCAAATGGCAGTTTCTTGGGAAATGTTCCTTGCCAACCTGAAGAGAATTTAAATAGGAAACATGAGATAAATCTTGAAATCCTCCAAAATTTTTTCTCAGAAAATAAAGCTCTTTATCAAGAAAAAACCCTCTAACAAAAAAGTTCTCTAAAATTGTGCCAACATTGTAAATGTTACATAATTGCTAATAACAATAATATGAATAATTAATATAACAGTTTTCAGTGTTATTATTGAGAAATCTGAAGCTATTCTGATTCCAGATTCTTCATGTATAAAATAACCTGTTCCAACCACAATCACCCACCATCACTACTTCCTTTCTGGAAGCTTGCAAGAGGTTTGCTTTATCCCTAATATACTAACATACCTCAGTGTGGGACCTTTTACCATTGATTATATTAAGTATTTTGTGTTTTCTTTCATTCAGAGACTGGTGCCTAAAATTTTGAGAAATTTTTTTAAAAATTCTTTTTGAGTATTTCCTGTGCTTTTACTAGAACTACCACTAATCAGCTGTAAATATTCTGAATATTACTAAGTTTATATGTAATTTGTTTCTATATATATTTAATTTATAAGCTAAAACCAGTGAATCTGAGCAATGAATCTACATCTTTCTTATATACTGTTGGTGAAAACAACAAAATCCTGAACATCTTTTGGTGACAACAATAACTTGTTTTGGTGAAGTATAAAGTAAAATTTCTAATTAAGATTTCAAAATCTTTAAAAAAAATTAAAATCTTAATAGTTACTGCAGTCTTTCAAAAATGATAATAGGAAATCATCTGCTTATGAGTGACTTGAAAGATTTCTAGATTTTTAAAAACTAGTTATTTAAAAATTTTCTAAAATCAGAGCAATAAAATCAAATGACTTTTTCAGGAGAATAAAAACCATCTTTAAAACATGGCATTAACTCACAGTTTAGGAACATCTAACCTATAAAGCTATAAATCACCATGAAAAACTGAAAAAAATAAATATAAGTAAACATCAAATATCACAACCAGACAGAAACAAAGCCAGAAAACAGTTATGTAAAGATAGCTTTTCCTAATAAAGTTTAGTCAAGAAATGAAATGCAAGAGGAAATAATATCCTTTTATACAGTCCACAGATATTTAGGATATCTCTTGGGATCTTCTTGCATCATGAAAATCTTACAGTTATGGGACAAAGTGGGAAAATACTGCTAAATATAATCCCCAAATTAGCTCAAAACTGAGAATTCATCTTAAAAAAAGGCTGCATATCATTTCATGCTAATATTCCCTTAGCATCTTACACAAATATTTGAAATACAAATCTTAAAGCTGAGATGCAAAAATTTCCTAACAAAAAGATTTTTTAATCAATAACTAGACCCATGGTAAATATATGTAAATGCAAATATATAAATGTATAATTATTATGAAGTCTTCCACAGATTAGTTCATTTTCTTTCAACCACTTTCTTTTTCCTTTTTGACATTTCAAAGATTAAGACCAAGACTCTTTCCTTAAATATCAAGTACCCTTTCGGACATTTTATAGTCCTTCCCTTATCAATGAGTTTTCAAACTCACCCTCAAATTTTTTTCAATAAGAAAAAATTTTTATGGAAATAGGCTGTATTTCTTATTTCAGAATCTAATCATAAAAATTTTACAACTCAAGCAGTTCACTGTACTTCCTTAAATGTAGTCAGTGGCACTGAAATCCCCAAGTAAGTTAATTATAAATGATTACTTCTAGAAATTAGAGATCAAAGGAACTGTAAATTACATATTGCGCCAAACACACTTGATTCCCAATCCACCTACTTTCATCATGAACTCTTTCAATGTTGAAGGCTCTACTATGCTGATTCAAACTCAGCTGCTGTTCATGGAGGTCCACAGGAACAGGGTTGATGCCAGTTCCTTCAAGATATAATCTAATTCGCTGCCTCCACAACCACCTTAGAGTGAAGAAAAAGCAAGTTATATTAAAATAGAATAAGTTAAACAAAGGATCAGACATTATAATTTCTCCAAATTAAAAAAATTCATATTAAAAAACTAGTTATCCCATAAACTAATTACACCAGAAATACCTAAAACCCACCACCGATTCCTGCTCAAAAACAGATTTAAATGGCAATATCTACTGTATCTATAAGACCCTTCAAATAACATGAATTAAAGTCAAATTATTTATCAAGTATCCATTAAATCCCATATACAGAGCTAATGTAGTTGTGTTTTACTTATCAAAAAGTATAATATATACAAAAAAGAAAACATTCTGAAATTAAAACGCCATTATGTTAAGGTGGTCAGATTACATAAAAATCCCTCCCCTAAAATTCTGTAATAATGTTTTTCTGTTTTTTACAATTAGAGTTCAACAACAAATACTGTGACACTTAAGATTACACCTAAAATTTCAATGACTTTTTAGTGGGAAAAAAAAAAGGAATCAAGTTTAATTGATTTTAAAATCAAAAACTGACATAGCAAAAGGCCAATGGGACAGATTCTACTAGATAAGTACACAAAAATATACTCCTACTTGAGTATATTAGTCATCTGTAAGGTACTAAACTTCTGAGATGAGCAGAAACTGGAATCACTACTAAAAAAAAAGATTTCAGAAGTCAAGAAGATTTAATACAATTTCACAAACACCTAGAGAAAAGGTTTTCTCAAACTATAAAATCTAGGCTAAGTCAGTGAAAAAAAGTAGTCCAACTTAGCTCTCTCTAATTAATTGGTCTACCTTATCTTAACTCTTCCCTCTACCCTTCTCTTTTCAGGGCAGTCTGACTACTAAACAAATTAAGTGAAAGGAATATTTAAAAAAAAAATCTCCATTGGTTAGGAAATACTTAACATGTAAGACAGAGATACCAGGAATCTCAGCATAGTTAGAATAAATACAACCCTCAGACACTCTGGATGGGAGAAGATGAGGATGAAAAATACAAAATCTCAGAGAACTTGAACATTTAGTTTTCACCGACAGTCTTTTTACCAAACTGCTAAAAACATGTAAGGTTAAAGTAGAGACATGGCCTCTATCTCACTGAAGGAGAAAAACGTCTACTTACGTTACAGGCCAAGTGGTATTTGGCAAGGTTTCTCCATATAGTTCCAATAGGGCTGGGAGAAGCCAAGTTAGATATGTTTGTGACTCAGCTAACATATTATTTTTTATGTATTATTTGAATTCTTTTTTATGGCTACAACTATGGACTAATCCAAATATTATCTAATGTGTTCTGTTTAACAGCATTTTTAATGGCACACATTAATAAAATAATTATATAATAATAAGATTATCTTAACAAGATAATTATAGAGCAATAGTAAGAACTTCCTACCTGAACTCACCACGATAGAACTTCTGTAAGGCTTCTGGGAAGGAATGCGTATATCGAACAGGAAGACATAAATGACCCTCAGACCTTATTTTAAAGGGATTTGGGTGGTATAAAGGGAAGAAGAAAAATAAAAGTACTCAATTCAAAAGGTATCATTAAACTACAAAAATCAGACATGAATTTTTTTGAATTTCTACCCTATAATTCATTTTTGCCACATATTATATTTTTAACAAGAACAAAAAAAAAAAGACCAAATAGAAATAGTAGTTTACACCCAGGTTTAATGCCATAATACAACTTAAGTTTCCACATTACAGTAAAACTAACAGCAAATTTGCCACTGATTGATATCCCTGCAAATTATCTAATGGTGTAGTGATGTTTTCATCTTAACATCTATATTACTTAACTACTCACTTTGGGCAAGTCACTTTAGCATCAGCTTCTTCATCTCTAAAAGGGCCATAAAACCACCAAATCTCAAAAGGTTATTCTGAGGAATCAAACTATTTATGTGAAAGTTTTTTGAACCATAAACCCCTTATAAATATCTTTTAAGATAATCTCTTACTAAAAGAGAACTCATAGCTTAATCTAATCTAACTTCAAGGAGTTAACAGCTTTCGTGAAGGACAGAATATTTTTTTTTAAAAATTGCAAATTGCAAACTGTTAACTGCCTATCGGCTGATACAGAAAGATGAGAGGCTATGACACCCTAACATGAGGAAAGGTGTCCAGATAGTTCAATCATCCTCATTCACGTGACCCTTCAATCTCGAAGGAAAGGTTGACAGCTGGCCTGGCAAAACAAACCCTTAACGATAACTGTAAATTAACACAGATGCGAAGAGCCACATAAAAGGCTTTTACAAAGCTGTAACTAGTCAATTTATCTGAGATCAATTTAGCTAAGAAACTTAGGGACTAGATTTTTTAAATTTTTATATTTACTGCAGTACTTAGTGCTAAGGATAATATACAGTGCTAAGAATATAAAAGTTGAAAGTGAACATATAAGTCGCTTAGTCCTGTCCGACTCTTTGTGACCCCATGGACTTCACCAGGCCGCAACACTGGAATTGGTAAACTTTCCCTTCTCCAGAGGATCTTCCCAACCCAGGGATTCAACCCAGGTCATCCGCACTGCAGGCGAATTCTTTACTAGCTGAGTCACAAGGGAAGCCCCTTATATAAAAGTTATCAACAGTCATTTATTTGATAGAATACTTACGGAGGTCACCTGCAGGTCTAAAACACTCAAGAGAGAAAAATCTAGGCCTGGCCTGGAGGATTCAATTTCAATGTGGCTCACTCACTAGTGCTAACTGCTGGCAAGGTCCTCAAATCTGTCTCCATGTGAGTCTCCCCACAGGGTGGCCTTGGTATCCTCACATCACGGTGGCTGACTTACTCAAGAATGAGCAACCCGAGAGACCAACACAGAAGCTACAGTACCCTTTATGACCTGGCCTTGGAATGCACACACTGTTGTACCATATTCTTTTGATCCTACGGGCCAGCCCTACTTGAAGTGGGAAGGGAACTACATAAAGGTGTAAATAACAAGAGGCTACCTTAAAGGTCGGCTATCACATGCTGTCTATCCCATTTTCATTATTAAGCATTTAAATGTCATAATTATATACAGGGGTCAGCAGAGTGAGTACAGAATACCAAAGAGAAAATTGAAATTGTCTGTTTAATTTAGTTGAGTCCACCAATGAGACATCTTAGAGAAGCAGATCCTGCAGCCCAAGTCAAACCTTTGGGTGCCTGCAGCCCCAGCTGACATCTGCCTATAACCTCATTAAAGATCCCGGATTCCTGACACACAGAAACCATGGAAGATAATACATTATTATTACTGTTGTTTTAAGCCTCCAGTTTGCGGATGATTTGTTATGCTGCGTTTGATAACTACTGCAGAGAAGAAGAAACTTAATTGAACATTAACTTCTGGGCTTATTTAAGGATTGTTGAGACACCTCACACTTATAAGAAATATAAGTCGGGCAACCGGAATTACAGAACAAGCTAGAGGCCTTACACATTTCTGCCTGGGGGCAAAAAGAAAAACCAAAAGACTTCTAGAATACATTATTCCAGGTAGGATGGCGTCACCGACTCGATGGATAGGAGTTTGAGTAAACTCCGGGAGTTGGTGATGGACAGGGAGGCCTGGCGTGCTGCAGTTCATGGGGTCACAAAGAGTCGGACACAACTGAGCGACTGAACTGAACTGAAAAATTAAGAGAAACAACACCTTCTGCTTACCAGTTTCAAAATCTTCACGAGCTAATGAATATTAAGCCAGTTTTTAAAGGAGAATATATTTCAACAAACTGTATAAAATATGATCACTAAACAATCTCTTACTGTAATGATACAAAAATCATTACATTACATATCATTACATATCATTACATTACATATCATTACAAAGTTTCTCTAAAATACATGTGTACAATCACTAAAGGCAATTAAAAAATAATTATTGAAGCAATAATATCAGTTACTTGTGCTTAGGAAATATTTGCTCAGCTAGGTCAGGGTCCAAGCTCTGCTCCCTAAAATCATTTAACTGATCATTCATTTTTCAAGTGTTTATTGCCTACTGATTACGTATAATAATAGTATGCTAGTGGTAGAGAAATTTAGTCCTATACTCAAAGAATTTGTAGTCTGATGGAAGAGACAAACAATCAAGCAGAAAATAATAAGGAGAGATAAGTGCTCTCTGTAGAAGGAATCATAGTCAGAGCTCACGACAGGAACCAGTCTTGAATTAAAAAGAACTACACAATTGAGTCAGTGATCTAAGGGCACTCCAGGCGAAAGCACAAATAAAGGCATGAAAAGAACCTCTGGAGAACTCTTTCACTTACTGTTTCCAGCCCTGCTATCTTGCTATCAACAAAGCTCATCACCAGAGCAAAAGCTCCCACAAGTGAGCCTCTAATCAAGACGTTAGGATGTTCATCCATTACACTGTGCTTAAGAACAGCTTCAGGTTGTGGGGTGGAGATACTGAATGAAGGTATAAACTTCCATTTATGAGATAAGAAAGTACTAGAGAAGCAATGTACCACATGCTGGCTAAAGTTAACACTGGCGTATGGTATACTTGAAAGTTATTAAAGACGGGAACTCCTAAGAGTTCTCATCATAAGAAAAAAATCTTTCCAGTCTTTTATTTATTTATTTTTTTAGCTATATCAGATAACAAACTTTAAGAACTTATTGTGGTAATGATTTCACAATACATGTTACATCCAGTCATTATGTTGTACACCCTAAACTTATACAGTGCTGTATGTCTATTATATCTCAATAAAACTGGGCAAAAATACAATTAAAAAACCCCAAAGAACAGACTTCAGGAAGGATCCTAGAATGTTCCTAGAGAGGCATCAGTCCTTTTTTTAAGCTGAAGAATGTGTACTGCCTGTGGGTAAATGAAGATAGATGAAACTAGAAAAGCGGATAAGAAACAGGTGGTAAAACATCATATACATTATGCTAAGGAATTTGCAAGGCATCCTGAAGGTCAATGAAAGGTTAATCCATGAAATTAAAAGATGCTTACTCCTTGGAAGGAAAGTTATGACCAACCTAGACAGCATATTAAAAAGCAGAGACATTACTTTGCCAACAAAGGTCTGTCTAATCAAGGCTATGGTTTTTGCAGTAGTCATATGGATGTGAGAGTTGGACTACAAAGAAAGCTGAGCACAGAAGAATTGATGCTTTTGAACTGTGGTGCTAGAGAAGAATCTTGAGAGTCCCTTGGACTGCAAGGAGATCCAACCAGTCCATCCTAAAGGAGATCAGTCCTGGGTGTTCACTGGAAGGACTGAAACTTCAGTTTCAGTTGAAGCTGAAACTCCAATACTTTGGCCACCTGATGCAAAGAGCTGACTCATTGAAAAAGACCCTGATGCTGGGAAAGATTGAAGGCAGGAGAAGGGGATGACAGAGGATAAGATGGGTTTGGGTACACTCTGGGAGTTGGTGATGGACAGGGAGGCCTGGCGTACTGTGTTCCATGAGGTTGCAAAGAGTCGGACACAACTGAGCGACTGAACTGAACTGAACTGAAGGTCAAAAGGAAACCCTGAAAGACTTTAACTAAGGAATGGATACAATCAAATTTGCACTTTTGAAAAAATACTAAGGTAAAGTGTGAAGGATGAGTTGGAAAGAGCAAGAATGGAGATTATTGCAGTAATTTAACTCACACTACAAAGGCCTGAGCTATGTTTAGTAACAGTGAGGAGGACAAGAGATGGACTCAAAGGCAGGATCCCTAAAACTTCACACTAAATACCCAGTCAATATGATGAAGGGAGTGAGGGAAGGGGGTGAGGATGAGTCGCCACAGCTTTAGCACCCATTACAATTCCATTCATCAAGTATGGCAGCAGGGAAAGCAGACAAGTCCATTTGTAGATACATTACTTTTAACTGCCACCAGACACATTCAAGGGGAAGCCAGTATGGCTACAACAGCATAAAGAAAGGGAAAATAACAGGACATAAGGATACAGAATAGTCAGAGGCCAGATAATGTAGAGTCTTGAATGTCACAGTGAAGGTGATCAACCATCCCCATTTGCCCAAGACGGACAATTTTCCTAGGATGAAGGACTTTCAGTACTAAAACTGAGAAAATCCCAAGCAAACCAGGATGAGAAGGAACTGGTCATTCTAGTCATTGTAAAATTAATTTTATTCTGAGTTAGATGGAGACCCACAGTAAGACTTTGAACAGAGAAGTCTACCTAATATCACCAAACTTTATAAACAGTCTCTGTGACTGCAGCAGACAGAAGAGACTAAAATAAGGTAAGATCAGTGCTGGATATGAAGATTCTGGAGTCACCGGAATCTTAGTTAAAATGACAGATGTTATTCAGTTATTCTGGAGATAGTACAGAAAAGGAATAGAAAAGACTTATCTATGACTGAGCAGAAAGATAATGGTAGAAAATATTTTAAGAAATTTTTCAGGAAAGTGAATGAAGAGAGAATTAAGAAAAAAAAACAGAGGGGATCAACACACTGAAAATCAAGGGGCAGATTTATTAGAATTGAGGAAATAGGTCTGCTACTAAGGAAGGAGACTATGGTCAGAGTGATTTGAGAGATGGGGAAATTCTAGATGACTGCAAAGTCCAGATATGATCATGGTTGTGAGTGGCTGGAACAGAATAAGGTTACATGTCAGAGAAGCTGAGGAAAGGGGAAAAACCCTGCTAACAGGGTTTGATTTATTTATTATGTCAATGAAGTTACCCAGGAAATCAGTGGAGGCATACTTAGGAATGTAGATGAGAGCCTAAGTAAGGGTAGAAGATGCAACATCATTAACTCATCCATCACCAGCAACACCAAAGGTCACCAGTACTGACCTCAGTCAAGGACTCAGGTATATTCGGCTACAGACACTACTCCCAAACTACCTGGGAAATCAGATGTGAGAACCTGTCCATCCGTATCATAATTTTCTACCACCAGTGCTAGCGCAATGCATATGTATTTCTCATGCCTAAGCTAAAAAAGAGAGCTAAGACTTTGAGAATAACTACAAAGAAGAGAAATCTGCCAATTCTACATGCCTAGATTTCATCACCAAAATGGTTCTGGTACATAGTTCTAACATTCGTGATGGCCAGGAAGGGTGATGTTTCCACTCACACAGCATGCACCATGGCAGACACCCTGTACCAAGAGGATAAAGAGCTTCCAAACCTTAAGATTTGTCATGAACAGATACTATGCAAAGCAAAGAATAAATGTTTGTATGTGTAACAGATTTAAAAAATTATTTTTCCTTACCGTTCTGGGTCGGTGTTTACACCAATAACTGGTTTAAGTCTGTCCAAGACTTTACTTGCTGCCAAAAGCATTGTGCCATCCCCTAAAGGACATAAAGCATTAACCACTAGTTTTGTAACAAGTCTGATTGACAACACTGTGGACATTAGTCCTTTCAGTGATCACACCCCACCCCATCCTGTTGGTTGCCAGTCTCCTCCACGTCCTTTCTACCCACTATTCTTTTGTATTCTCTCTCCAACTCTAATTCAGAATTCTCAACAGTGGCAAGAGTGACACTTTAGGCCAGGTAATTTTTCTGTTTTGGGGTTGTCCTGAGCCTGTAGGGTGATGGGCAGTATCCCTGGCCTCTACCCATTAGATGCCAATAGTAGCCCCCAGGTGGGAGCCACAATTCTAACCCTATCACTTCTTTTAACCAATCCTCTCCCTCTCTCATACCATCAGTCCAAATTCACATATTATTTTAATGAGAATACATACAAAGTGTCCAGCTTTGCATTTTTCTCCCTACCAAAAACAAACCCATAAAGGTTTATAAAGAATGGTCACTAACTTAATAATACAGCTCAGGAAAAAAACAAGTATACTGGGACCAAAGAGGGATGGGATCTAATCTCATTAAACTCTTAAATTCAACTTTTTTTGAAAGACTGGCATAGCTAAACTAAAATACAATTATAAACAATCCTATGAATCATATTTAAAGTTAAATGAACACCTTAAATATACACACAGAAACACACATGCACAGAACCTCACAGTAACATCATCCACTAAAAAAGTAAAATGTTGTATAAAGCACATCTTTTAAAACCTGATCCTAAAAATCCAAAAATTTGTCTTATGGTAGGACTTTGAAAGCTTCATTACAGCTAGCTCACAGGATTATTTGGAAATATGACTATTAAAGAGCATTTCCATATTTCAACACCTTTACCTCTGCAAAACTATTACCTCCTGCCGCTATGACAGCATCTGCCCATCGAACAGTTTCCTCATCATATTCTCTCCTCTTTACGAGACGAACCTCAATTCCCTCATTCCTAAGATAAAAAAAAGTAAAGGGTATATAAAATGTCCACTAACATAAAGGAGTATGTTTTTTGAGAGGCAGATTATTACAACAGAGATGTAAAATAAACAAATTTGTTTTACAAACAAATTTATGTTTAGCTTTGGAAGGTCAGCTTCATTTTCATTTAACCACAACAACCAATCAACCATTAACTATAGGAAGCATATGAATAAACTATCCCAAATCTCCAATGTGCTTTAAAAACATCTTTTAAAGCCCTTGATGAATAGCAATATTAATTAGAATTTCCTTTTATTTTCTCTACTCTTCCTGACACTAAAATTCATTAATACAAAATGGTCCAAAAGACTAACACTTTGAGAGACAATTTTTTAAAATAAGAGCGAATAGCTATTATTTTAAATTCAACAAATATCGACTGCCAGATAAAAACAGTGACTAAAACTCTTCCTAATTTGTGTGTCCTCACATTGATTCTCTTGTATACACACACACTTATTCACTGACTCATTTAGCCTTTAATTAATGGAAGTTTCTATAGTCATAATTTTTAGACATTCAAAAACTATTATAAATGAACACCTATATAATCCACTATTCTGTTTAAGAAATAAAACATTATCCTACAGTTGAAGCCTGCTGTGTACAAAATTAACTGTGTAGAAAAGGCACTTCTTGGGCAGACCAAATAATAACTGACAATCTGAAATTTTCAGAGTAAAATTAAAATTTCCTTAAAAATACTCTAATACCAGGTCCATTAGCCACAACGTAATTTTCTTAAAATGATTCTATAATGGCCGTCTCTCCTAAAAAACCTAAGTATCAGCTGCTAGTAAAAATCAAAAAATTGAAAGTCCTCAATACAGAAGCCCACTTAACACCTGATCCCACAGACTTACCGTAAACTATCGAGAATGTGCTCTACATTTTTGGTGTGAATATGATGCCGCTCAAGCAGTCCACTGTAGCTAGAGCCTTTCAGCGCGAGCTATATCAAAATAAAACAAATTTTGCCGTATCACATAATATGTTTAACATATTGTATTTCTTTAAAAAGCTCTGTATAAGACAGACTGGGTTGTTTTGGGGTTTTTTTGAACATACACTTTAATGGCTATCTGTGTAACCCACAAGTACAAACTTGATTAGAAAGTCTGGTTCCAGAAAATCATAACGTGGTTTTAATACCAAGTACAGTATTAAGTTTCCTGAATCAGTATATGCTGAATCCTGAATGTAGTCAACGGGATTTCAAAACTGCATGTTTTACAGCTTCAGTGTCTTTTTTTTTTCCCAAGTGGATTTTTTAACCTACTGAATTTGGCTACTGAAGACCAAAGATGAACTATTATTTTAGAAGGCAGTCATCTAAAGGTCATCCAATGACCTCTGTTCTACTTGGACTTGTAGCTCTCTTGTATTCCAATTTCTGAACTCTATCTGGAATTTACACAATCCAAACAAAGGGCTTGCTGGCTACTCGAGAGTGGATAACTTCTAGATATAAGGACATATGCTGCTGCTGCTAAGTCACTTCAGTCATGTCCGACTCTGTGCAACCCCATCCCTGGGATTCTCCAGGCAGGAACACTGAAGTGGGCTGCCATTTCCTTCTCCAATGCATAAAAGTCTTCAATAATTGTTTTTGCTAGTTGTTTAGAATACTTTAGAATGTCACTATCTTACCACTAATATCCTTCTAAAGTATATATGTTTTCTAAATCATCCACAAAGTAAAATGTTGAGAGGAAAGTTTAGAAACATTCATTTAATCATCAAGTAGGAAATAAGTTCACTAGAGTGAATGCTAGAGTCAAAAAGCATGTTATTTTGGGGAAACAACAAAATTACAACTACTTACAGAGAAACTATTAAAGAAAAACAAACGAAACAGAAGACCAGCAGAAAAGATCTCCTACAATTAAGGATATAAGAGAGAGCCACAGCAAGACAGGTAAGAGGTATGAGATGCAGCACAGTCAAGGCCCACACCCCTGGGTGGACAACCCCCAAAGGGGGGGAAGGACTAATTTACAACTGCAGAGCTGCTTCCCAGGGAGCAAGGGGCAGAGTCCCTCACTGGCTCCCCAGCCCAGAGGCCCTGCTCTGGGAAGACGAGTCCCCGAACATCGGCTGTGCAGGCCAGCGGGGCTTCTAGGAGAACCAGGGCTGTGGGAAATAAACAGCACACACAAAACTCCACACACTCCAGGACCCAGTGCAGAAGCAGCCATTTGAAAAAATCCTGGGTCAGACCCATCTGCTGATCTCAGAGATGTTCCTGAGGAGGCAGGAGGCAGCTAGTGCTCACCATGACACGGGACGCTGGTGACGGCCACCATGGGAAGCCCCTTCCACCACGGGCATGCTGGCGCTGGCAAACACCACTGTGGAATCCCCTCTCTAGCTTATTACTGCTGGGATGTGAACCCACAGGCCTGCCGCCTAAAGACCCCCTGAGCCCATAATCCTGGACCTACCCCTGTCCACCAGACAGCCCGAGACCCAGCCCACACACCAGCACGCTCACAGTAGGCCCCAGGTCCCCAGGACCCAGCTCTGCCTATCAGTGGACCTGTAACAGCCTGGGGGCCGGCTGCACTCACTGGAGAGTGGGGAGGCACCAGTCCAGGGCCCCCTGGGCCTGGACCCCAGCTGACCCTACCTGCGGTCAGCTACCAGTGGGCTGACCCCAACTCCAGGACCTCCAGGACCTCCAGGACCCTGCAACCAGAGACTCCAGGACTGCTTCTGCCCACCAGTGGGATGGTGCTAACCCCAGGACCCAGCACTCCCACCAGAGGGCAGGCACCAGCCTGGGGAGCCTGTTGACCCCAGCCCCACCCACCAGTGGGCCAACAGCAGCTCTAGGGCAGCTTGTGCTCTCAACCAGCTGCCAGGATCTGGCCCCACCCACCATTAGGCTGACACCAGCTTGGCGACATCCCTGAACCCACAACCAGTCATGTCAAGAGACAGCCCTGCCCATCAGCAGGCCAATACTAGATGTGGAACCCCTACATGCAACCACCTATTTCAGAACTCAGCTCCACCCACGAGTGGGCCAGCACCAGGTCAAGGGATCCCAGGGCCACACAGCCAGCAGCCTCATGACCCAACCCCATCCCACAGCAGCCAGCACACCAGGCGGGGCCTGACAACCAACCAGATGCCCCACAGTTGTCAGCTGGCACAGGAGGGCCCATGCAGCCCACACAGGAGGCATCCCTAGAGCATGCAAGTCTGGTGACCAGCATGTAAGTTGCTGACATGCAAAGGACATCTAAAAAAGGCTGCTTCTCCAAGGCTAGAAAACATAACCAGCCTACCAAACACACAGAAACAAAAACAGCAAATCAGGAATAATGGAGCAGGGAGGAATACGTTCCAAATAAGTGAACTAGATAAAATCGCAGAAGAGTTAACTGAAATGGAGACAGGAAATCTAAACCTGATAAAGAGTTCAAGGTAATGATCAAAGAACTCTGGAGATGAAATGAGAAGAGTGAGAAGTTAAAAGGTTTTAAAAAAAGAGTTAGAAAATATAAGGGGCTTCCCTGGTGGCTCAGACATTAAAGAATTTGCCTGCAATGCAGGAGACCCAGGTTCAATCCCTGGGTCTGGAAGATCCCTTGGAGAATGGAATGGCTACTCACTCCAGTATTCTTGCCTGGAGAATTCCATGGACAGAGAAGCCTGATGGTCATGGGGTTGCAGAGAGCTGGACACGACTGAGCAACTAATACTTGCACTTCGAAAATATAAAGATGACCAAACAGAGATGAAGAACAATAACTGAAATGAAAAATACACAAGAAGGACTCGACATTACATTAGATGATATAAAGGGATGCATCAGCGAGATGAAAGATACAGTAGTGGAAATCACTGAAGATGAACAGAAAAAGTAAAAAAAGAATAAAAAGAAATAAGGACAGTTTAAGAGACCTCTGGGACAACAGTTGCAAAATAAATGAGTCACAAGTATGAAATGATTATGTGGTGATTATTCTGAAATGTCAGAAACACCAATCACTATGTTTTATAACAAGAACTAACACAGGGTCAATTATACTTCAAAAACAAACTCACTCATAGAAAAAGAGATAAGATTTGTGGTTACTAGAAGGAAGGGAGAGTTGGATGAAAGCAGTCAAAAGGCACAAACTCCCAGTTTTAAGATAAATATTAGAGATGTACAACATGATAATTATAATTAACACTGCAGTATGTTATATATAAAAGCTATTAAGAGAGTAAATCCTGAGAGGTCTCATCACAAGAAAAAAAATTTCTATTTCTTTCATTTTATATCTATATGAGATGACAGATGTTTACTAAACTTATTGTGATAATCATTTCATGATGTATAAACGTCAAAGCATTATGCTGTACACCTTAAACTTACATGATACTGTGTAAAAATTACATCTCAAGAGTAGAATTTCTTCTTGTGAATTACTGTAATTCTTTAATAACTCATGCTTGATAAATTTATTTAGGGAATACAAGTTCTTTCATTAATTATTTTCATAAACAATGTAGCTGGTTGGCCTACTAAGTTGTACTAACATAGAGTGGCTAACTAGGCAACTAAGAGATAAGGCATTTTAAAAAATCACTAATAAAAAGCATCAATTAGAAAGTCTTATATCACTATTCAACTTGCTCTTATATTAAAAAGCAATTTTATTTAATACTCAAAAGATAGTAAGAATTTCTAGCTACCCACTTGGAAAATAACAACACTTCAAAGACTGAAAAACATACTTCAATCAGACAAAAACAGGAACCCAGGAATTCTCTGTAAAACGTTTTAAAATTAAGAAACTAAAGAAATTACTGAAATTTATAATACATTCTCAACTCTGCAATGCTACACTTAAGGTATCAGTATTAGTGACAAAGTTCTTAATATTTTTTCCTTTTTTTCTCCAAAAGCTTGTTAGTTCTCATCAGCATTAACAAAAATGTTTTTAAAGATTATCCACTAAAATGGAAAAACTGGTGTGAACTTAAAAGTTCTACAGCAGACACACTTAACGTAAACAACAGAACTTCCCCTATAAAATCTCCTGAAGCCAACAACACTTCTCCCCACGTGCTCTGAGGTTAAAACAAAACACAACACAACATTAAAGGGGGCAGGGGGAAGGATTCTGAAAGGACAGAAATTAACCACACCTTAAGGCCAGATGTGAGAGTCATGCTATTTTCTAAATGACCCAAACACTTCCATTAAAGTATCACAGACATCTTTACTTGACCAAAACTGAATTAAAATTTTAAGTTGTTTTACTAGTCAGATGAGTGTTTACTATTTTGTACTCCAGTAAGGGAAGGAAATGTCTTTTCAAATTTAACATGTAAGAAATGCACAAACTTGTGAGACAATGACAGCTGGTACGTAAACTCACTAGGCATAATTTAAGCACTCTTAGAATACACTTAACTAAATGGTACACCAACTACCATTCAAAACTGCCTTAAAAGGATTAGTTGCACCTAACAGCTAGAGAAAGTAAACTATTTATCTAAGCCAGATCAAGCCAGCCGCAGGAAACTATTTCTTCAGCTATATTTAGTATTTATCTTCAATTCTTTCTATTTCATTTACTCTTTATCTCAGGCTCTCACCTTTATTTTCCTCATTGCTCTATTCCTGCTTCTGCATTCTCCTTAATTCTGTTGCTAAGTCACTTCAGTCGTGTCCAACTCTGTGTGACCCCAGAGACGGCAGCCCACCAGGCTCCCCCGTCCCTGGGATTCTCCAGGCAAGAACACTGGAGTGGGTTGCCATTTCCTTCTCCAATGCAGGAAAGTGAAAAGTGAGAGTGAAGTCGCTCAGTCGTGTCTGACTCTTCACAACCCCATGGACTGCAGCCTACCAGGCTCCTCTGTCCATGGGATTTTCCAGGCAAGGGTACTGGAGTGGGGTGCCATTAATTCTGTTACCTACTCCCTTATACAATGGGATGGCACCAGGTT